TGTCAACACAACAAGCCTCTATACAACCCAGAAAAGTTTCCTGTGCCTCAGTTCCCCCATCTCTAGATGGAGTAATCCTATTGCCTATATCACAGATAGTTAAGAGGTAGAAAGAGCCTGTGTGGGTAAAATAACTCAGATCAGACCATCATCCATATTTCTTTACATCCTCTTCAGAGCTGAGGTTTGGTGCCTAAGGGGGTCAAGGATTCCCAAGTAGTAAACCTGGGGATCATAAGTGGAAATCTGCAGCATTTCTTCTTGATCTTTACAACTCTCCTCCCCATCTTCAGTCCTAGACATTATCATATTTGTCTTCTGCTATTTGGACTTCCATAAAAAGTACTATGACAGGGGCTGGAGAGATGGCTCAGCAGTTAACACTGGCTGTTCTTGCAGAAGACCCAAGTTCGAATCCCAGCACCCACATGGCAGCTAACAACTTTCCTTAACTCCAGTTCCAGGGGATCCAACAGCCTCTTCTGTCCTCCACGGGCATTGCACAACATGGGTGCACTTACCTACATGTAGGCAATGCGCACATACACATGAAATAAAAATAATAAATAAAATATTTTTTAAAAGGTACTATGACAGAGTTAAAGATAAGGAAAGTATGAAAGAAATAGGCAAGAGTATGTCTGACTCCCAGCACTCAGGAGGCAGAGGCAGGCGGATCACTGGGAGAATAAGGTCAGTCTGGTCCACATAGTGAGTTCCAGGCCAGCTGTGGCTACAGGGAGACCCTGTCTCAAAAAGACAAAAAAAAAAGTGTATCTGATTTGTCAGAAGGTGCTCCTGAATCAGAGATGAGTGGGTCCCATGAGTGACAGACACTAAATTGGTAGGTGCTGGGGTTGTAGTGGCATTGTCCTGCTCAAACTTTTCTCCCTGGACTCCCATTAGGAAAGCAAAGCCACTCAAGCCCCACTTCTACTGACACTACAAGGCCTCTCATCTTGGCAGTAGTGTGAGTGTTCTGGGGTGAGTTCACAGTGAGTGAAGCTGTACTACCTGCTCAAGCTTCATGGATTTCAGGTGTATCCTTTGAGATTTGTACTGGCTGGTGAGGCTACCAGGCTACCACTGGCATAGCCAACCCTCAGAAGCCCAAACCAGCCCAAATAGACACCTTAACCAACTGTCACACCAGTTATAGATAGGGGTTGCCTGGGAGTTCAGGAGACTTTGTGTTCCATGAGGTGGGCAGGGTATAGCACATGCCCTTGTACACATATTCATGCATTGCCTTCCAAATGACCCGAGTAACCATCCATTCTTCCTCCACTCTGCACACTTGCCCTCTTTAGGGCTGCTCCACAGTTGGTGCATCCAGATGGCAACATCATCAGGTAGGTGTTTCAAGGAGGCACAGTGGTAGTCCATTTTGGCAGCTCTTGTATCACCATGGAATCTTTAGCTTAGCGATGAGGACTGATACCTTGCTGAATCCAGGGAGGTCCAGGCTGGGAGCAGCCATTGAGATGCTCGCTATTTGTCTTACGCATATGGAGTATCCAAATGGAGCCCTAGAAGGTGCCAGAGCTAAGAAAGGTAGACTTGGGAGATGGAGTTCTCCACTCAGTGCAGACATCAGCCTCAGAGATGAGGAGGAGGCCCCAAATGTGGTCTAGGAAAGGCCCCAAGGAGCACCAAAGGGCAACTAGTGTTTTGGGGGTAGAGCAGAAACCAGAAAGAAAAGCAATCAGGCTTCAGATAAGTCAGCATTAACACAGGTCTAAATCCTGCAGGCACTGAGAGGAAATCAATTGAGGCAGGGACTACAGGAGTAGCCAAGAAGGGCAGCCTGGAGTATAGTTGTCAAATCAGCAGCCCCTGGTTGGCCCAAGGCACCCACAGTCATGGATCAGGAACTCTGTGGGCTCTGATTTCTTAACCTGACTTACTCTGAAACTCTATTAATGAAATCCACACTCCACCTCCTTTTGGGCATAGCAAAGGGAACAGGACAGAAATTGAAACTCTTTAGGGTTGTCCTTTGTCTTCATTACAAAGCCCGCAACAGCTGACATTTAGGAGCCCCTCCACACCTAACCTGTAGCAGCCTCCAGTGGGCCACTCCTAACTAATTAAAGGGTAAGTCCCACCTGAGCTTGAGACGCCACTCAGTTGTGCCGATGCTGACTAGGTACTGAGATGCTTCCTCCCTGAATAGGGAGGCAGTCTCTCCTGGTGACTTTGAACTCAAGCATTAGGTTAAAAAAAAAAAAAAAACAGATGTTTATATGTACCTGCCTTCACTCTCTCTCAAAATTCATCTAAAAAGACAGGTTTTAAGGCATAAATTTTCAGGAATGGGGAGATGAAAGAAGAGACAACAACGTAATTCAGAGGCCAGAAAACTCGTAAAGTAGGAAACAAATGGTTCAGGAAACCCAAAATGCTGAATTCTCAGAACCAACACAATCTATCATTCAAAATCCCCAAGAACTGGCAGCACCAGGTTTTTCTGGGAATGGGCAAGAATTCATACAAAGATGAAGGTGGAAAATATTTTCAGAAGCTGCAGACCCCCAGGTCCCTGACAGGAGAAAGCTCCCAGCCCTCTGGAAAAACTAGAGCTTTGTTTTCCTGAAAAAAAATCAGAGGAGGTTTGTAAGCTGGGACAGAAGGCCTTGCTGTGGGAAGAGGTCCTATACCAAAATAAATTCTGGAAGGCATCTGCTGTGACTTCAAGACAATTCCACTCCCAGTACCTAATAGGCTGGCAGTCTGGCCAGTCCCAAGAGACAGCATCTTCTTAGATGTGAGATCCTCTCATGCCACTGTCAACTGTGGGGTTGTACAATTTTCTAACACCCTGGAAACAGTCATGGTCCATCCTTCCTGAGCCTGGAAGAATTACTGTGCTCTGCTCTGTAGAGCCATGTACAGGTCCAGGACTGCTGCGTTCGGTTAATTTACCCTCAGGATACTATGATAACCAAAGCCTGAATGCATTGATCTGAAAGACTCTGAGAATTTGGGACCCAAATTCTGGGTTTCCAGTACCTCCCAGAATCCTGGAACTGAAAGAAGAAAGGATGGAAAACTTCAAAAGGTACTATAGGATCAAAGCAGTCGCTAAACACTTGAGACTCTTTAAAGAGCAAGGGCCCTCTTTCCCAGGATTTCCCTTTCCAGGAGTTCCCAACTCTCCACATGATACCAGGAGCCAGATCCCAAACATGGCCTCTCTTTGAAGTCTTAGGAAACCATTTTAAAGAGGGCCAAAGGGAGATTTGATTACACTGTCAGAGCCCCCACCTGCTGATGTCATGGCTAGCCCGGGGCTAGGGCAAGCTGCTGAGGGTTAGGGGTACACTTGAAGCCTGTCTGAGGCTGGATTCTTTCTTCAGTACCCACCAGTCCCCTCCTTCCAAAGTCTTCTATACCCCATATCCACACACTCCCTGCAGCTGTGACAGTGACTTCCAGGACCCTCCTCCCACCTACATCATGTTCTCAGTTCTGTGGACCACCTGGAAGCTCCACAAAAAACAGAGGCAAATAGATGTGTCATCAGACCACAGCAAAGCTCAATAAGGATGAGCTCCTGCCCTTCACAAACTGCATTCACACGCTTTGGTGATTCTTGGCATCACAGTTTTTTGGAATTATCTAGAAGCTCTTTGAATAAGTCCCATGCCATGCTGTATATGATTAGGAAGAGGCTCTGGTTTAGGGGCCTGGTGAGCAGTTACTCCAGCATGCAGTAACTGGCGAGCAGTTATTCCAGCATGCAGTTTTTCAAAGTCAGAATGGACCAGAGGCTTAACAACTATTCAAAAACAAAAAGAGAAAAAGACTGTGAGCAGAGGTGGGCCAGGACTAAAGAGCTGAGCCCCAGGCTACCAGCATCATGTGATGACAGATGTGTTCCTTTTTCCCAGTGGCATCTCATTCCTCCACAGTCCTGGCCTTAGCTACTTACCTCTGCAAGCAACAATAGTGGGGCTGTAGCAGCACCCTCCCCTCCTTGCCACCATCAAGGGCCATCACAGCCCTCACCTCTTTGACCAGCTCTCATGGTCTGCATTATTAAGATGTTTTCATCAGGGACTCCCTTGCCCACACCCTGTCCCATGCCTCAGCACCTATGCCAATGTGAAGGATTACTAGCCCCGACCACTAAGCCACTATTCTCAGTAGGGCCTTAGCAATGAAAACCCCAGAGCTCTTCCTCACAGTTATGCGGATTCTGCCTGGCCTGCTAATATATGCCCCCAGTGTCCTGGACCTTGTCTTGGAACAGAGGCTGGAAACATAATCCAGAGTTTCTAAAGATCTGTCAGGGAACATGGGTTCTATCTGCATATAAGAGGCTTCAATCTGCCTCCAGGCAACAGTCTTAGGAAGGTCAGGTTGAATGTGACTTGCCTTATTGCAAATCTGAATTTGAGAAGGCTAGAACTCTACCTGACACAAAAGTGTGATGATGGAAATGTGCTTCTGAAGGGCAAAAAAGCCAATGCACATGAGCTAAGACAAATAAAAGGAATCCATTGCCTCATAGACTGGGAAGTTCAAGAATAGACTGCCTTCAGGCATGGCTGGAACCAATAGCTCTGAGGTCATCAGTGAGTTCCCTCTTTCTCCCTCTTCTACCTTCTCAGCTCTGCCTCCCTCCAGAATGTCTGAGCTTTCATCCATTCATGACTAGGAAAGATGGTACCGTAGCACAGATCCACTGTATATCTCCAGTCTAACAAACAGTCTAGCAGGAAAACTGTTTCTCCCTGAACCTAGGAGAAAACTCCTAGGAAGAACCCTGATTTGGACATGCCCAGTTCATGGAAAAAGGCAGGGTGCAGTGACATGGACCTTAAAGAACCATACTTAAGGGAAGGCAGTTCCAGCAGAAGTATGGGCTGAGCCAACTTGAGGGACCCACATTGGTACCAGGGTAAGACTAGAATGGAAGATCACCTCTTGCCCTGACCACACAGCACTCTCAGGAGCATAAGGAGCAAAGAAGCCTCCCCACAGAACATAGCACCTACTCACAGTCAGACTTTTATTAAGAAATCATCCTCCAAACACACCATGAAGTGCTGTAGGTCCAACGTGTTTCCTGAGGAAGGAGGGTCACAGTATTGGGGTATCAAGGTCCTGGGCAGCTCAGCCAGTGAATCCAAGCAGCCGCTCAGAACTGACCATGGCCAGCACTCCCTCACAGCAACATGACTCAGCCATAAGAACCTCCACAAACGCAACACAAGAAACACACCAGAGCACACACATCTGCTCTACACTTAAATAATAATAAATACAGAATTTCATTTGCTGTTATCGGCCTGAGAAAAGGAACCCAAAAGGAAAAAAGAAAACCAGAATACCTTTCTCTCTGCTGGACCAATGAGGGGGAACCCAAATTATCAAAATTCCTCAGTTACAAAATACTTTTTTTAAAAAAATTCCATTATTAAAATAATAAATAACAAAATATATAAAAAATAACTCAGTTGCATCAAAATTATAACTAGAAGTTATATCAAGATTTTCTGGCCTATCTTATAGTCAAATACTTGTTTTTGCTTTGATTTCACTTATTTCACTCTTATGGTGCCCTAGTGTGTGGTCTACTTGCAAAAGTATAAAATCAATAAATAAAAATAAATAGCAAGCATTAACATAAAAGGGTGTGAATATAAATACTTACATCCTGACAAAATTAAATAATTTACAGAATATTTAAACTAGCTACTTTCAGTGTCTTCCAGGAAGTGCAATTTCTCTACTTTTAAATACTAATTTGGAATTGCAGTCACAATGGACTTAGACTCTATTTACACAGTAGGAACATCGTGTTTTTAACACATTAAATTAAAATTTACCTTCTTCACATCTTGAATGGATTTAAAAAGAAGTGAAAACTTGGTGGTCTCCCATTAGGAATTTACCCCTTATCTCACTGTCCCCACCTTGGTCACCTTGGATACAGAGGTAAAACCCACCCAGGGAAAGGTAACAATGATGGGTTAGGGACCTGGGTGGAGGTGCAGGAATGAAAGGCCTGGCCCCGTGGTCCTAGGCTTAGAGCCAAGACCAGGAGTCTAAAAACTATAGCCTGGAAGGAGCAAGTCTGCAATGGCCTCTGAATGCCTGCTGCACAGGCTATGGGCTGATTTTTCAGGGCCTCCAGGTTTACAAAAAAAATTTTAATTCCTTCAGCTGACTGGCTATGATGCTTGTCAACTGTGTAGACTGCCATCTGGAAGGTCTATTCCTAGATTCACCTTTGGAGCAGAATGTTGTGCACCTTTAACACAAAGCTGAATTAAATGAAAACAGAAAATGTACTTGCCACATGGGCTTCAGTGAGCAGAGTCAGAAGCCCAGGTGTGCTTCCAACTGAGACTAAAACCCACCCAGCCCACGGCTGCCTTGCCAGCCTTGACAGACAATGGAATACTGTGGCTGCAAACTCCAAAACTTCCCTGAGAACCTTGTCCATGAGCTTCAACTGGAGACTTTGAGCTGCTCTTCAGATTTCTTTCAAAAAAAATAATAAATCACTTTGTAATACTTCAGTATCCCCAGGCACTCACATGGGGAAGTCTTTGCACCTGGGCCTGATGGGGACATCATAGGAGACACTGATTTCCAGGCTCCCCTTTGGGTAAGCTGCCTGAGGCTGTACCCAGGCTGCCAACTAGAAGTAGCTATGAGTCAGAGGATCCCCACTGTGAGGAGCAGAGCAGGGGAACCTCTGCCCAGTGCAGCCTAGACCTGAATGCCCCTCACAGCTTGCTTGATGGTTTCCAGAAGTCCCTTGTTCTCCGGATTCTGGTAGCAGTCCTGATTGGAGTACATGTCAGTGAGGGTGCTCACATAGGCGTCAAAATTCTGTTCACATATTGGCTCCTAGAGGACAAAACCAGGTTAGCAGGCCCTGTCCACAGTAGGCCCCGTGTACCAGAAACCTGTGGGGAAGCCTCAATCCCAGGCCAACAGGGCATCAATGGCAGCCATCCCTGCTAAAAACCCATAAGTGTTTCTATCTATAAAAATCCCAGCGACAGGCTTACCATTACTGGGACCCCATTCTACTCCAGCTCATAAGCTCCCCAGGAGTATTAGAGTCATGGCCAATAGCTGTTCTGCCAGAGCACAGAGAACCCCACCAAGGGTATAGGACCATTCCTATAGGACCTTTTCATTAGGACTCATGAGCAGAGTAGTGAGGGACCCCCACCCTCCCTGCCGTCTGAAGAGTTACTAGGGCAGCTGCCAGCTCAGCTGTGGTACCCACTGGGCCACTGATGCCTACCATGTGTGGAAGGCGGATGTTGGCAAGACTTTGGATGAGGGCCTGGCTCAGCCCAGACAATTCCAGAAACAGGGCTTCATTCTGTTCCTCAATAAGCTTGTTCTCCTCCTCGATGTTCTTCAGGTTCTTCTCCATGGAAGAAATCTGTGTCAGAGACATGGAAAATGCTGCCTGCCCTTGTCCTGTCCTGCTGGTCGAGCACTGGCCATACCTCACAACATTGTGGGACAGGACAGAGACCATAGGTGGGGAAGAAGGCTGGTAGAGCCCTAGTTCTTGACAGAGGTAAGGACCTTTGGAAGTAGCCTGTACCCAGGGGAACTAGGAGCTGGTGTTCCAAGTACCCAATGCTATGTGTGACTATGGTTGTCTGTGCCTTGTCCACCCTAGAGATGGAGCAAAGGGATAGACTCTAAGGCTGGGTTCAATCTCTGTTCACACCTGCTATATTATTATTTCTCTAAGTTTCCTGTTCCTTTCTGTAGGATGGGAATGACTGCACTCATTTTGTGGGTGTCAGACTTCCTCTGCTTCTGAGTTTTTTCCCTCCCACAAAAGATCAACAAGCTGCCTGCCTAGGTTCCAGGCCATTTTCCCCAAACCAAGCACAGGCAAGCCTCTTCATCTTCCACACCCTAGCAATGAACCTGCACAGGGTTATGCTGTTCCAGAGGTTCCTGGTGTTAAAGGACAGTCCCATACCCAGCTGTATCCCTCCAAGAAGCCCGAGTAAAAGGCTGAACTCATGAGAGGATAATGTATAACAAGAGGTAAAAACCAGTAGTGACAAACGTAGCTTTAAAGGACTACATGGGAGTAGAAATCTGAATTCCTTTTCCTTCAGCCCTTCCACAGCTAGCGTGGAACTCACTCAGAGAGATAGCAAGGTCTTCCAAAGCAATACTAGTAAAAGGAAGCAATCAATGTTTTAAGATGGACTTAGTTTTGCATTTTAGAGATAGTGTCATTTCTCTGTGTTCTCCAGACTACTCTTAAATGTTGTCCTTCTGTCTCAGCCTCCTTGGTGGCTAAGTAACTGAGTACCACCATATCTGGCTCTTAAATGATGGGTTAAGAGTGTACTGCTCTTGTAGAGGACCTGAATTCGATTTCCAGCACCCATGTCAGAGGGCTCACAGGCACTTGCACTCACATGCACACAGCCACATACACACACACACACACATAATAAAAAATAATAAACCTAAAGGACTGTAAAAGTGAATCAGTAGCTCTTGCAGAGGGCCCAAGTTCGATTTCTAGTGCCCATATGAGACGGCTCACAACCTCCTGTAACTCCCATGACACCACCTCTTCTCTGAACCCCATTGAGCAGCCAGAGGATGAGAGAGCACTCCTGTTGGCAAACAACAGCCATGCTCACTGGCATTCACACTAAAGACTTTCCTCCAAGAGTCCTGAACAAGGGAGTGGAAAGAGACTGATCTAACCCACATTCTACTGAGGGATGGGCAAGGCCCCCACTGGTCTGTGGCTGTGCTGGTCCAAGCAGGCAGAAGGAAGATGAACTGCCCATGCAAAGAAGACTAGAAACACAAATTGGACAACCAGTACTAACAGGGTCAGAACACTGGCAGACTGCTCTCAGCAATGGGACTAATCCAAGAGGATGACTAATACTACCTAGACCATGATCCTAAGAGTAAGACTCTTAGGCAGTGCAGCAGGTAAACAGCTAAACAGCATACTGTGTGCTGTGTGCTGTGTACTGAGCTCTCCATTAGCTCAGCACCAATAGTGTTGATGGAAGCAGCAGTCCGAAGGCTAGCTCTGGGTGGAAGGGAAGAGCCAGGCAGAGCAGTGCCACCCACCTGGGACTGCAGCTGCACCATGGCAGCCTCCATCTCCGAATTGGACTCGTTCAGGTCTCGTATCTCCTGATTCAGCTGCTTGATCTCCTCGTCATTCTCCAGCACTGCCAGAAAGAAAACAGTTGTGGCTCTGACAGCCTATGTTGGAGGCAGAAGGGGAGAACCTTGTGTGGTAGAGACCCTCTTGCCAAGCCCTGAGCTCCTTTGGACATGGATGCTAGGAAATCTTGGAAACTGTGAGAATAAGATTGTGCTTGTCTCCTGGCCTTGGCCCTTGTGGGAGGAATAGGTCTCTTCAGAGGCATTAACTGCTATGACCAAAGGGAGGTATGTTCAAGATGGGAGGGGGCCACATTATCCACAAACCCATGGAAATGCCTTCTGGTGTTTCCATCAGGCTCTGATGCATATGGTCACCAAGTCTCAGGTCAGAGTCAGCATGACCATCAAGAGAAGCCAGGCCGAAGCATTAAGAGCTTCAGTGGTAAGGTTAGTGGGTCAGTTGGCTCAGGAAAAAAAAGTTGTTACTACTATGGCTCATGCCCAGAGGGGCTCAGCTTCCCCATCCTCTTCCAATAGCACAGAAAAGATGACAAGAAGGGACATCCCAGAAGGGTAGCCTCACCATCACTTGTCTTGAACTTTGGACTGAGAACCTCATCCCCTGAGAGTTTTCCCTTCTTCCCAGCAAAGGTTGCTCTAGGACAGCCAGACAAACTGGAAGTAGAAGTTACACATCACTGACCAGTTCAGAGACACAGTCCATGGACAGGTCCAGGATTTCACACCAGGACCAAACCAAGCACATTCCATCTTACCCAGAAGACCCTGCAGTCCTCCCTATGGTGGAACTGCTCCCCTTCAGCTGCCTGTCTTGCATTGGGGAGCAAGGCTGCGGTCCAGGCAAAGGGCTGAAGAAGGTACCCCCTCAAAATTCACCCTGTTTGGCACAGCTGTGACTGGTCACAGGTCCTGGAGGGACCAGGGCATTGTTGCTCCCAGGTGGTGTTCCTCTGGGGGTCTGAGTCCTGCATGCCCCACCTGCTGGCACTTTGTAGTACTGATCTCCCAGAGGGGTCCTCAGAGCCAATCCCACCTGAGAGATCCTTCAGGATATGGTTGTGCCAGCAGTCACAGGTGATTTCTTGGATATAGCTATTCAAGCAGAAAAATTGCATAAAAACAATGTGGATTATTACACAATACTTCAAGTTTGTGCAGTAACTTCATCCACATTATAAATAATCAAGATGGAGGCAAAGTGAGATGTACTTCAGAAGCTCAGAGTTTGGCCACCTGGCCCAGGCCCCTGCAGCCTCCTCTCTGGACTTTTTGGCCTCTCCCTTATCTGCATCCTGTGGCCATCCCAGAGGCCCCATTTTTTCTGTGTTCTAAGCCAGCCTTCGCTCTCAGAGGCAATTGGCCAGATCCTGGCTCACAACTTTCTGCCTTCTCTCCTTTGTATCTCTGCGACCTTACTTAATGGTAAGTCAGGCTCTCCCTAGCTCCTGCTATGAAAGGGCTCATCTTCCAGACAGCTCAGGATGAGCTTCTAGCTTTTTCTCAAGCCCTCTTTGCCCTCTACTCCGCTGTTTTCCCCTAAGCCCAGATCACCACCATTCACCATATTTAGTCACTCTTTTTTTTTGCACAGTATGTATCCCCACCTTCTCTGTCCAAAACACACCCAAAAGAGCAAAGACTGGTTGTCCTTTTGTTTTCTGCTCTATCTCTAGCCTTTGATGCTAAGTGGACTCTCAATAAATGTTTTTGTTAAATGGATGTATTAATTCATCTTGTAGGTGTAAGAAGAAGAAAGGTGGGAAGACAGAAAAGAGAGGAGAGAGGAGAGGGGAGGAAGAGAGGAGAAGGGGGTAGACATTGACTTTAGATCCAGACAAAGGATACTGGACAAGATCAGGCAATTTCCTTATGCCCCTTGACCATAGTTGTGGGCTGCCCAGAACAAAGAGGAAGTGGAGCTGATGAAGCAAGGCTCCCTCAGCCCTGGGGAAGGTATTGGAGACAGGTGACAGCATGAGCTCTGCTCAGGCAGGAAGGGATCTAGTTACCAGATTCCTTGCAAAGCAGGCAAGAGCCTCTCCCCAGAATTCAAAAACAATCCCAATGGGAGAGGCAGGGCATGAAGTATGGGAAACAAACTTTTCCAGAGAGGTCAGCAGCCTAAAAGAAAATGTGAGCATAGACAGGGTCTGCTCACGTATGGCCTCCGTGTCCAGCATAGCACTGCTCATAGGGACAGTGAATACCAGAGCATGGAGAAGTACTTATGAGAGCAAATACATACTGCAAACAAACAGACACCATCTGGCACCAACAGCCTCCATAGCTTCTCCCATTCTGCTGCCTACTTGGGCCTTGCTTTTCCTTGTAGAACTGCTAGTCCCACTGAATACTAGATTTTCCCCTACCCCCAGGGGTTATATCCCAGCCCAAAGCCAGATCCCTGCATGCTGACATGCGGATCAGGTACCTCCGGTGGGTGAGGAAGCTGCCGTTGGCATGGCCAGAGCCGTCGCAGCCCGGGGTCGGGCAAGTAGGGCCCTCATTCTTCAGTGACTTCCAGGAGAAAGATGAACCATTGAGAGCACCCTCTTTCTGCCTCCGGGCGGCCAGCGGGCAGCCAGAAGCACTCCTGTGAGAGGCGTATTTGCCGCTGATGTGGCCGAGCCCCACGCAGCCTGGAACTGGACACCTGGACACAGAAAGGCTGAGGTGACCACAGGGGCCCTGGGTGGGAGGATCTGGGAATCCTGCCAAGCCAGGTTCTAGAGACCTAGTTTCATGCATAAAGCGCTCTCGAGTAAGGCAAGAAGCCAGCCAAGTCTCATACCTAGCCTTCTAGATGGGGCTGCTGTCGCTCTCCCTTCTGGCCCTCTAGCCCTGCATAGCAGGGCCTACAAATCAGATGCATGGCAAGAGTACCTTGAGCCATGCAGCTCAGGGGCAGCAGGGCCTGTCAACCTACCGCTTCAAAGATGAAGCCTATCATGGGATGGTACCCAGGGATCTCTAGAGAACATAGTGCTCAAACAAGAAAGTCTTGTGCTAATATCCCATAATCATTCTGCCAGAGGCTGGCCAAGAGCAGTGCTTCCTTTGTTCTAGGCATTTGAGGACAGGAATAAAAGCCCCTATGGAATAACATAGATGAGGACTGACAGGTGTCCCAGGCACAGTGTGTGAAGGATGTGCCTGAGTCAGTGAAATCTGGGGGAACCCACACCTGACCCAGATCAAGATCCTCAACTGGTAAATTTCCAGTCCGTCGTCTCTCCAATAAATGAAACTCAACCAAGTTAGCATATCTCACATTTTCACTGTCTGCTAAGCACGTGGAAAACGCATAGAACCCAAGGACATCACTGCCCCACTTTTAGAGGCTTGTGGGGGTACAGAGGTGCCAGGGCAAGACATACTCAAAAGGACAGCGCCAACAGCAGAGTCTCCTGCTGCAGGACAGGATGAGGGCACAGGACACACTACCAACAGGAGGGCAACAAGGTGACACCCCATCTCATTCCAGGTAGCCCTTCGAGATACCTTCCCAGTCACCTCTGCCAGAGCCCCGCTTCCTCAACTGAACAACACCTCTCCCACCTCTCCTTCCATTCTTGTCCCTCCAACCCATGTAGGCCTCAAACAGCATAGACTATCCACAGGGCTAACACAAGGTATTCTTGGCCTGTAGTCCAGAGCAAGGGAACATCAAAAGCCTCCCATGGAAGCATTGGATAGCTCACATTCAGTGTCTGGCCCCTCAAATCTCGATGTCTACTACTCTAAGACCCAGTAACTTGGGCCAAACAGTCAACCTAAGATGAGGAGCTGGTCTTAGAAGAGGTCTCTGCTGAGTGTCCAGCATCACAAGTTCAAATGGCTAGCTAAGAGGGGCTCTTCAGTCACTATAGACAGCAAGTCTGAATTCTTCTTACCCACTTACAAAGCTCCAAACCTCCTTGCAAGGAAGAACTGATGCTGTTCACTAGAATCTCATCTGTGAGTAGTATTTAAGAATGATTCCTTTCTCTTAACACTGGTGTCAAATATTCAAAATCATCAAAATATCACATTAAGACATGCATATGGCATGAGCTGGCAGGCTTCCATGCTCCTTGGGTGAGCCTGTGTTTCCTAGAGAACATGGTGGGCACAGCAGCCATGTGTGTAGTAACATGAGAAATGAGGCCAGGACAGAAGGGAACAGAGGTATATTTCACACATCAGATGCAGGATGGCTGGGGCAACATGGACCTCGAGGAGTGATAAGTAGACAGGGGAAGCATCAGCACCTGGCTTCTACAATGGAACTTCTGTTGACTCCTATGACCACAAAGTATTGACATGACTTTGTTTCAAACAGTGCTTAGATGAGACTTCAAAAATGGGAATTCTTAGCCGGGCAGGGTGGCACATGCCTTTAATCCCAACACTCAGGAGGCAGAAGCAGGCAGATCTCTGTCAGATTGAGGCAACCTAGTCTGCATATTGAGTTCCAGGTCAGCTGGGGCTACAGGAACATGCCATCTCAAAAAAAAAGCGGGGGGGGGGAATTCTTCTACCACAACCCTTGCAAAAACAGCTTACATCTGATAAAAAACCTTATACCTCAGCAGGACCTGGTCTACATTTGTTTGAAGATGATAGTCAATTATAAATATGATTAAGTTTATTGCTGACAGGAGGTCCTATAAAATAAAAATACTAGGACCAAGTGTGGTGGCACACACATTTAATCCTAGCACTCAGGAGGCAGAGGCAAGCAGATTTCTGTGAATTTGAGATTAGTCTGTTCTTATAGCAAGTTTTAAACCAGTCAGGAGTATATAGTAAGACCCTATCTCAAAAAAATATTTTTAATTAAAAAAAATAGAAATACAAGCAGGCACTCCTCCTCTTGCCATGAAGCCCTTAGGATCTCTGTCCATCCTGCAAGTGCTAGATATTTTCTAAAGGTTACAGTCTCCTCCTGGTTGCAGAACTTCAGGGTTTTTTTTTTAAAGGAAAAGTTGATGGCACATTAGAAAGAGAAAAACCATTTTCCTTGTTAATTTGAAAAATAATAATCTTGATCTTAACCATTGGAAAATATAGCACAATTCACTTCTAATATCACAGATAGCAGGATCCTTGCTGTTGTTCTAGATGAAGGAATCACATCTTTATGATCCCAGGCAAATTCCTGGATCCTCAGAAAGAAAAATGCTTTTTGTTCACACCAAGATTTAACCACCACATATTTTACATGGTCAATTTAAAGCTCATTACAGTCTTCGTTATAAAAATTAAATAAATTTCAGGCTGGAGAGATGTCTCAGTGGTTAAGAGCACTGGTTGTTCTTGCAAAGGATCCAAGTTAGGTTCATAGCACCCACATGGCAGTTAAGAATTGCCTATAATTCCAGTTCCAGGGTTCTGATGTTCTCTTCTGGCCTTACATACATGCAGGAACTTATATACATGCAGGTAAAACACTAATACACAAAAAATAAATAAAATCCTAAAAATTTTTTAAATTAAATAAATTTTATTAGACAAAGCAACAGGTGAGGCCAAGTCCTTCTGAAGGCTGTGATGCTGGTTAGGCCCCTCTTCTGTAGCTAAGGAGATGTTGGGCACAGTTGGAGCAAACTCTGAGGAAAAGCAGGAATCTCGGGCAAAGTTATCGCTCTACCAGGTGAGTGTCTGACTACTGACTGTCCAGCAAGTAACACAGTCAGGGAAGGCCTGCTTCTGGAGGACCCAACAAGCAGCCTAAATTCTGATCAACAACAAGGCCAGAGCCATTATTTCCATTGCTCACCTGTTGGGGACCTGCTCCATTTTGCCAGGAGTTAGCCCTGAAACTCCCAGATCCTGGGTAAATTGGCCAGTGGGTCACCCCTATTTGAGCCTGTGACACAATATAGCTTCCACCTGCAAGTGAGTGTGCAGACTAGCTCTCTGCAGGAAGAATAACCTTCTTGAATTTCCCACTGAGTATGTTACGCATGGTCAAAATTTGCCTATAAGCTCCTAGAAGACACATCAGCCCCCACCTTGCCCCAGGAGAATGGAGGTAGTAAGCAGCCTTTTTGCTTCAGGGATTTGGGTCACTTAAGACCCACCAAGGATGTGGGAACTTTCCAGAACCCTTGGCAAGATAGAGGAATGGTGTGTTTCTATGAGCTCTTTTTCATTTCCCATGAAGCTCTAGGCCACTCACTGGTTGTAGAAAAGGGTAAAAGAAATCACTTTCTATGATGTTTGGTAGTCAAACCCAATTTTCCCAAGAAGAACTGAAAAGGATTTATAGGAAACTAGCCTTGAAGTACAACCATGATAGGAATACAAATGGAGAAGAAAAGTTTAAACAGATTTATGAAGCTTAAAAGATTCTCTGATTCCTAATTGAGAAAATTCTGACAAAGGAGTAGAACAGGCAATCAAAGTAGGTGAAGCAGGTGGTGGTCTTGGCCTCCCCCCATAGACATCTTCAATATATTTTGAGGAAGAAAAGGAAAGATACAGAGAGAGAGGAGAGGCACAAATGTTATGTCTCTTCTCTCAGTAGCTTTAGAAGATATATAATGGTGCAACAAGAAAGTGGTTCTACATTTGTGGATTTGTGACAAAGATGAAGTCCAAGGTGGTAAAAAGGAGCAGCAGAGTGCTATTTCAACAACTGCTGAGATACTGAAATGCAAATAAAGATTCATCAGATAGGACAGGGAGTGGTTCAATAACCTGTCTGTGTACATAGAGCGCCAGTGCTGTAGAGAACAGATAAATCCTAAAAATAGATGTAAAAGCTACAATGGGAGTAAGATAGTTTGAGAAAAGATTTTAGAAGTCCATATTGACATAGGCATGAAAGATAGAAAATAGCATTCTGCGGTTAAAAAAAAAGAGCAAAAACCAAAGCTGAGTATTATCATTGTCTTAAATTGGAAGAGTCAAGCTGTTTTTACTTAAGAAGAAGACTTCTTCATGTGTATGGACATACAGCTACTTGAAGTATTGCGTGGTTTCCAAAAGTTGGTATCTCCTCTTGACAACCAAACCAGTCACCCAGGTTCACCTCTCACCAACCAGGTTTACCTCTCACCCAGGTCCAGTTGTCAAGCACAGAGGTATCAAATGTGTGCTATATCAAAGGCATGCCAATGTATTGTCAGTCATAAGAAAAGATTGACTAATCTTCAAGTTTAAGGTAAACATTCCTGAAAATGGCTTTATCTCTCCTGATAAACTCTCTTTGTTGGAAAAACGCCTTCCTGAGCGGAAGGAAGTAGAAAAGACTGATGAAATGGATCAGGCACAACCGGTGAACTTTGAACTAAAATAGGAAAGATGGCACCATTACAATAGAGAAGCATATTAGGATGATGAACTACTTGCTATTGTTTTTAGCATTCAATTATAATAGTGCTTTAAAAGTTTTGTGAAGAATAAACCCAAATATAAAAGCCCTGAGTTTGACCTGTATGTGTGATTTCAGCATACAAGGTGAAGTTTAATACCTATAAAAATTACTTTTAAGAAAAAGTCCCCCTAGAATCTGTTAGGCCATACCTTGGAATTGATTCAGCTGTGTACATGGACAAACTTAGACTGAAATACTAAGTATATGTGTTGGCTTCACTGTATGATCCTTCATTACTAAGCTATGGAATTTATACTTAACTGGTAATCAGAAAAAGAAAACAATTTGTAGAGGAGAGAAAAAGAAAATCAGAGATACCCTCTTTTCTCTCCACAGAAGATCCAGTTCCCAGCTTTAGCTCTTCTGGGCTTTCCTAATCCATTGTCTCTAGACAGATATGCTGGTGGTTGGACAAACAATATTCAAAGGTACATCTTCCTAATGAACCCACCTTCCAGATGCCACACCTGAACCTTCCCTCTGACAAAATGCAGACTGCCTAGGCTATGGGTGTCTTGAAGCCACCTCAGGACAATAGGGCACTTAGTTTTCAAAGCCTCCACCGAATTATCTCTGACCTGAATGCAGAGGATGGTTGGCACACATGCCCTGGTTTCAATACCCAGGTATCAATGTGCGCAGTTCCATCACATCTATAAAAATGAATATTGTCATTGATTAGTTTAGATGACCAGTTGTGAGGAAAAGTCTAGAATGAGCTGTTTTAGTTTGGTTTGGTTTTAGTTTTGAAGCAGATTCCCAGTATATAGTCCAAGCAGGCCTCAAACTCAATGATCCTTCTGCCTCCAACCTCCCAACTTCTAGGATCAAGGGTTTATTCTCACAAGGCAGTCTTGTTTGTTTGTTCATTTAGTTATAACATACAAAAAAAATCTCAATTTTGCAAAAATAAAGGAGCCAGCATGGCCCAACATACTTCATCAGCTCAGGGTCTTCCTTGTCATCCTTGGTGGGCGCCACCTTGAGTCCACTCTTCTTAGCACGTGGGCAGCCTGATAAACTGATTTTAAAAGAGAAAAACATGCCGCCTCAGTCCCAAAACAGTGATTTTGCTCACTAGCTGCCTCATGCTACTCCCTCAAGTTCTCCGGTCCCCTACAGGGTTGAGATGTAGGGAAGAAAGATCAATCAGTCATCTGATTCAATTAAACTTTCATATGGAGCAGAATTGGCTGACACAGAGCCTTCAAACAGGCAACAGAAGAGTCAGGAGTGGGAAGCATCCCTAGGAGCCTCCAATCTGACCCTCTGTTTTTTGCTCTGACTGTAGAGTCATCTAGTCTGGAAGTACCAACAATTCAGAAGAGATGGAAATGAGCTCTGCTTGTTTGCAACATTAATGTCTTATTCAGGACTTTAGAACTTTGACTAAGACAGAGACCCTCACAGCTACCCCGGCCCCTCCTTACCTCCGGTGGGAAGCATAGTTCCCTGTTATGTGGCCAGAGCCATCACAGCCAGGTGTGGGGCACCTGCAGAAAAACACAGAATGAGGCCAGAGCCCATGAAGACATTTGCCCCTCTGGACTCAGCCCTCAAGTGAGCCTACCACCGTCCTAAGCCTGAGATCCCTCAGACAACCACATACCTTAAACACCTCTTTGCAAAGGAGCATCACATACCCTAGCCTACCACTGCCAGCAACAGATGTTCAATAGAATAATATCAGGAACTCAGTACTGATCCCAGTCACCCCCAAGGAGTCCAGGAAGCTAAGATGAGAGCAGCCACTCATTTCAGTGCAATCCTGTGGAAAGCAGCAAGAACTTGGTATTGGCACTGAGGAGCTGGTTATTCAGAGTACTGCTCCATGGTACCCTGGCCCTGGGAGGACTCTGACTTCCTGGGAGAGCTGACCTTTGGGATACAGTACTTCTTATATGAAGGACAAAATCTGAGATTCTGGCACCCAGGGGGCTCTCAAGGGATGGCACAGCTCTTTATTACATACATTCTTTCTGGCCTCTCAGATCTTTCTTTGGGTGTTTTCCTAGGCTCTTTGGGTCCTTCACAGTGTCATACACTGGATGCTTCTCTGGCTATCAGTCAGTTGGCCCACCAAACCCTTCTCCAGTCTTCATGAAGCCATGTAGTATGCATGGGTACTACATCACTGCCAGGGTGGCCCTGTTGTCCAGAAGTCCAAGTACAGGGAACTGAAGACGATAGCTCATCTCTTCTCTCAGTGGACAGAAGCTTTGTAGTAGATTCAGGACACCTGCTCCTTGTCTTCATGTCAGAGAAGCATCCAACAGAGCTCAGGTTCAGTGCAGAGGGTGGTGGTCACTCAGTGTCAGAGTAAAAGTCCCCTAGCAACCCTAAGCTTCTGAGCTGTGAGTAGCACCAGGGTGAGGTAAACACACACCCAACAGCACAACTGAGTTTGGGGAGGGTCTGTGGCTTCCATAAAACCATCAGGTGCCTGGCACACAGGGGGACTGTCCTTCATCCTTTGGCTTGATTTGATGGCTTTCCTGAGAGTTATGCTGAAGAGAGGACTGTACTCCTTATGGAGGTAGCCACAGGATTAGAGCTGCCACTACCCTTCTATCATCTGCTTTTAGGTACCTTGTCTGGATAGGATGAAGAAGTTATGCCTAAGGAATGTCCCTGCCTTGGTGGCACCTCAGTTCTCTTCTGTGACCCATCTCTGTGCTGCAAGGGCACTTCCCACTTTGTGTATAGCCTATAATGCCTCCAAAGTATGGTGCAGCATCCATACTTCCATGATAGTTAGATGAGAAACTCAAGGTAGCCCTCGACCACACATAGAAAGGAGGGAAAATAACCTGTGGGAGTCACATAAAAACAGAGAACATGTCTGAGCATGTCTGCATTTGGCATTTATAGGGAGGCCCCAAAAAGAACCCCATCTGCCACGCTTTGGTCAGCCTGATGCCCACTCAGACATAACAAGGATCCAAGGAACACTGGTGCATCAGAGAATGTGGAAAAGAGGCCATGGTCATCCCATACTCACACTGGAATCTGAAGGGACAAGGAGATGGGCCCAGAAAGAGCTCTGGGCCAAGAAGAGCTTTGGAGGCAGTAGGACACCTCAGCCACCTCCATGCAGGGAGACTTTCTTCTGCTGTACCTATAGAACTTCTGTGTTAAAGTTTTTCACAGGCTTAGAGGACTGACCTTCCCAGGAGCTGTCTCCTGACTGGCTTGACCAAATTTCTTCCCCCTGGTTCTGAACATCTGTTTTTGGGCCACAGAGTGGTCACATTCTAAATTCTAGAGTTATTTAGGCCCTTGATCTAGAAAACCATGGAAGCAGAATTGGGTAAGAAAATGGGGGCGGGGAGGGGGGCAAGAAAGATGGAAGAAAAGAAAGGAGGGTCCCTGAGGCCATAGGACTGAGTGTTTCACTTTGGGTTTGGGGACTAGACCACAGTGGTGGTGAGTGATAAGTGAGTGTGTGAACCCGCAAGGTATGCACCTGATATTCACTACCAAAAGGAAATGGAGTTGGTTAGAGTGGAGCACAGACACAGCTGTCAGAGTGGGTACTGGAAACCAATGGATTTCTGTCCTGGCTTAAACTATCTTATGTTCCTTTTATTGTCAGCATTCCAGCTCCTTGTCCTAGATTCACCAGTACCCAGCACCTTTCTGGCCCCCAAATAGATCCAGAGGCCTTGGACTGGATTTAGGGTCTTTGCTACAAAGGACCATGGGAGGACCAGCCCTGCTGTAAGGAACTGAGAGACAAGGGTGGCATGTCCCTCTTCCAAGGTCTCCACTCAGCCCTAGTTCCCTGAACAAGGTACCCTTGGCTCCAGGTCATAGAGGCTATAATATGACAGGTCAACAGAAAGTATGATAGCCAAAGACAACAGTGGCCCCAACTCCAGCTCCAAGAGGACAGATGCCTAGAAACCTCTGGGTGCTTGCTCCTCACCTCTGCAGGACTGTCAGCAAGCTGACAGTTTCAAGTGCCCACAGGGCCTGCCCTGCCCATGTGTTAAGGCAGAGAGTCACAGAAGCAGAAGAGGGACCAGCAAAAAGAAGGAAAGAGCATTGATTCAGACTGGGAGGACACCAGGAAGAGGCAGAACAGCCAAGGTGCAGGAAGAGGAAAGCAAGGAGCTTTCTCTTGCATGACCAGTGACAGTTCACTCAGCAAGAATCCCACAGCCTACAGCTGCTAAGCCACAGCCAATTTCAGGCTTTCCCCAATATCTAGAGGCGTGGGCAAAGCAGGTCCAGGCAATCCTGTCAGAGTCCTTGGGAATGGCTAGGGAAAGCACTGGGGCAGTGCAGAAGCTCTGGTCCACCAAAGGGAGACAGACAGTGCTCAGAGGTCAGATTGTTCAAAGCAGGAGTCACAGGTGCAAGGGCAACAGCCTAGCCAAGCAGAGTCAGCCCTTCATCAGCCCTGTACCTCTGCCCCATCCCAGGAAAGCAAAGCCAGCCTGGAATGGTGCCTTGGAGAAGGCTGACTTGGTAGGAGCTTCAAAAGGGAGGAAAGCAAAGCGAGGGAGCTGCCCAAGAGACAGGCAGTCAGGGAGCGCAAACATACTTGAGGTCAGCAGAGTGGGCAGCCATGAGGTTTCTGAGGCTCTTGTCAGCAAGAGGGCAACCAGAGAGGCTGAAAGAGAAGAGATGGGATATGGGGTGAGCCATAGAGGGGGAGCAGAGGAGATGAGGAGGAAGACCCACACACACACACAAAGCACTGGAGCCAGGCCAGAGGAGCAGGGCACGAACCTGCGATGGGAGGCATAGTTCCCGGTGATATGGCCACTGCCGTCACAGCCAGGAGTGGGACAGCTGGACAAAGGAAAAAGAGTGTCAGAACAGAGAGCCATGAACACCTGCAGGTCTTCCCCCAGGACAAGTTGGCTGAGGGTAGGTGACCATCCTCAGATCACAACCCTCACCTCTCAGACTGGAAATTTCTCCCATACAACTTAACTCAAAAAGGAAAAGGAGCTTGAAGTTAGGATGCCTCTGAAGCATGAGTTCTATGTGAAATGGGGCATTCCTCTCTCTAGCTCCAAAGCAGCACAGCCTTCTCTGAGAATGAGAACACAGACCCAGTCACGTCGGGAAGGCCAAAGTAGGAGGATACTAGTGGGTGCAGTGTAGGAAGAAGAGAGGCCCTCTCCCTTTCCTAGAATGAGCTCTGAGCACAGGTAATGATTGGCTCACCAGTAGAGAGGGTGCTAGGCTCAGCTGTTCATAGTCCTTTAGGGGACAGGTTGGCAGTAGAGGTTGATGGAAGACTATCTTGTCTGTTCCAGCCCCATAAGGAACAGTTCATGGAGCAACCTGGGATCCAGTAGCTGCCAGAGTTGAGGGCTGGTCTCTGTAACCCTCTCTGCCCATGGCTGTTAGTTCTTATCCTGCTCTGTCCTAGATTGTGGGCTGGGCCATAGGAACTTCCAAGTGCTTAATGGCTTTTAGAGTATCATATTCACATTCATCTCACTGTAGAGTTAACAGAAAACCTGTCACTATGGGCTGCATGGCTCTAAATGGTTGCCAAGGTTTGGGACCAGGCCTGCTTTCCCCAGATTCCTGGGAGGCTGGCCTGCCAAGGCAGCACTTACGTGAGTAGCTCCTTCTTTATGTCCTTGGAGAGAAACTTCAGCTTAAAGTTGGTCAGGGTGACTTCTCCCGGGTACTTCCGTTCCTCAAAGTTCTCTTCTGACACCTCCTGGTCATCTGCTTCAGAGGAAGCAAAAGAATGTGCTGCTGGCTCTGACTGCAAAAAACCAGCAGGGATATGTTTTAACAACTGGCAAGGAAGCCAGATGCCCAACCTAGTGGGCGAGAGAAAAGGACCCCTCAGCAGTATCCACAAGGTGTTTCCTGGAGTCTCTTGTCTTAATGAGAATGAAAGAAGGCCTAGCTACTCCAAGACAGAAGACCACACCATGAAGGCCAGGACCAAGTTCCTGATACTCTCCACGGCCTTAGCCCACCTTCACCAAGTTGCCACAGAATGGACACCTGAGAGCTGTGCTCTCTGGGGTGCAGTTGTTAGCAGGCAGTAACTAATGTTGCTAAGGTACCTCAAAACTGAGCTGGAAAGCATACTAATAGCTTATCATAACCATTATATGCTTGAGACTTCCCTGACCCACCATACGATGCTTGACCATGTCAGACACTTCACAAACACCAATAATTAAGCCCTGGGCCTGGAGGTGTTTGCTCACTACCCTTAGCTTCAGGATCAGCACAGCTCTTCCACTGAAGGCCAGGAGTCCTGCAAAGTTAGAATAACAACATCCAGCAGGACAAGTACACCAGAATTCACATTCCAGAGATATACCAATTTGTCATGGGTCTCAACAAACTGTTCAGATTCTGAACCTAAAAGGATATAACTCTGAGACAAGAGCCTGTGAGGCTGCAGCCCACAGAACAGCATGCAGAGGCTATTGATTCCTGTCACTAAACAAGGCTCTAAGATAGTGATTTGTTTGCCTGAGCAATTGGGCAAAGATCTTCAAACAACACACTTAGCCAAATCTCCAGTCAGTGAAGCTCTAGGATAGAGGTCCAAAACATGAAGGGCTCAGAGTACCCACAATGTCAGAAAGAGTTACTGTCAGAATTAGTGAACCATTTGGCAGAGGTGGTAAGAGGGTTTGAGTCTGGAGTCCAGGACAGAGAGAATGATGGGAAAGACCTGACCTAAGGAAAGATTTTGGAGATAAAATGTGCCTAAAAGGGTTTGGGAGAAGAGTTTGGGGACAACTGGCAATGGCCGCAGGTGGTGCATGTGGCAGGCCTCAGTGGGAGGATCTCAGGATCTCTGAAATAGATCTCCCTACAAACAGCAGCTCATTCCTGGAGAGACAAGGATGCTCCAAAGTGATATGTTGGAGGAAATGAGCAAAGCAACCTGGGGAGATCAGAGATAAACTAGAGCAGAGAAAAGAGCAGGGAAGGGACCCCAGATACCAACCTACCCCTGGACCAAGAAAGCAGCTGAGAAGTCACAGCTTGCAAACCAGGGAATGACTTGACCCTGGGAGTAAAGCGTGAATCTTAGACAGTTCTGAGCCCGAGTATGAGAGATGATAGTGGAGACATTTGCACAGAGGGCACATGCCTCTACCAAGGCTCTTACCCAGTGTAGGAAGGAATCAGCCTACACAGACTCAGACAAATGTGGCTCCATGTGGACTTCCCTACCATGAGGCCTCAGCCCAGGGCTCCTCTTCTGAGTCCCAATACCCAAGGTTGCCAGTAACTCTGCTATGTGACCTAAACCAGGAGCCTAGTCTATCTCTCTAAAAATGGGGCAATTCTGAGTTCCACCCAAATATTGCATAATGGTCTGAAGAGGGGCCTAGCTTACAGGCAAGTAGACTGTGGAGGAGGACCTGGTCTACCTCCTCAACCTCCTAGGGGTATCTGGCCCTGCTCCCTCCAGAAATTCCCTCTGGAAGGTAAAGATTGCAGGTATCACACAGGCTACTCAAACGGTTTCTCAGTGGAGCAACACACATCTGAGACTCCCATATCTTATACTCAGGTAGGGAAAGGAAGGCTCCATAGCTTACCCTCCAATGCCAAACTATTTCCTCTTTCTCCAGTTAGTCCTGGTCTCAGGGACTCAGGTCATTGCCCACTACAAGGATTTCAAGCTCAAGGCCCCTGTTAGCAGGAGTTTCCTCAGTGTCCTGGTCTAAGGAACCAAGCATTGAATCCCTACAGCTGTACTCCACATATTGATGGAAGGCTCATAAAACAAAGGAAACAAGATTTTCCCAAATCATCCCCAGGAGATATGAAATGCTCCTCTCCTCCTTGGAACACCCACATTGATGCTAGTCACTGTGTTCTGCAGAGGTGAGGAAACCAGCCTTCTTATGGAACAAGGATGAGCATGGCTTTGCAGGTAAAACCCTTTCTGGAGGGCTGGGCCCTGAATCCCAGACACCCTGAGGATGAAAAATCTTGTGTGAAAAGAGACAGACCCCAGAGGCTCTTTATGAAGCTCTCAAGAAACAGCTACCTAAGAAGTAAGCAGAATTCTTCGTAGCCTTTCAAGCAGCTGCCAGTCTGCCCACTCAGCCTAAGGTCCTGGCACCTACCTCCTCATGCTCCTCTTCTCGCAGCCTGCTAGGTTTGGTATAGTCCAAGGGTCGGTCCCACTCATCCTGGCGGGAGGTCTGGCTGGATTGGGGCGAGGTTATGGAGCTGCTGGGAGCACTGGTGCTGCTCTGGCGCTGGGAGACATCTGGAGATTTGACACCAGGGCTGCTGCTACAGCTGCTACTGCTGGGGAAAGCATTTTCCCGCTTTCGGTTTTTGTGCATGCTCAAGTCTAGAGTTCCATTTTCATCTACTTCAATGTCCACAGTCTGCAAATGCAAAGGTGAAAAATATGGGTTGGAAGCCGGGCGTGGTGGTGCACGTCTTTAATCCCAGCACTCCGGAGGTAGAGGCAGGCAGATCCCTGTGAGTTCAAGGCCAGACTAGTCTACATAGTGACTTCTAGGACAGCTGGGGCTGCAGGGAGACCCTGTCTCAAAAAGACCAATATATATATATATATATATGTATGTATGTATGTATATATATATGTATGTATGTATATATGCGTGCATGGGTTGGAGAACCAGCCCCTTCCTGGAAGTGCCTTCTGGTACATTTTATCCGAGTTTCAGAAAGGCAAACAGTGACCAGAATGAACAGCAGCTGAAAAGAAAGAGCCAGTACCATATCCTGACCACATGTGAAGGAGCCTTCCAGTTCCTCTCATCTCTATAGATCAGTAATCCCCTTGAGACACACTGCAAACAAGTGAGAACAGGTCTCTGGCCCCAGGACATGTCGGCCACTACCAACTTCCACAGGAGCACATAGAAAGGTGGCGTGAGCCTGACACTGAGTTACATAATATACTGGCTCTCTCATGGCCACCCATCTACTCTCTTTGGTCATCTGAACTATGACCAGAGGGGCAAAGGCTAGGAATAAAAAACATCAATCGAGGGCTGGAGAGATGGCTTAGTGGTTAAGAACACATCTCTTGCAGAGGACCTGGATTCAGTTCCCAGTACCATATCAGGTGGCTCACAACAGCCTATAACTCTAGTTCCAGGGTATCCAATGCCCTCTAGCCTCTGCAAGCACATTTATGGTGCACAAAAATCATGCAGCTACACATACATACATATAAATAAAAAATAAAGATTTAAAGACGCAAAACAGCTGGGCGTGGTAGCACACACCTTTAATCCCAGCACTCAGGAGACAGAGGTAGGTGGATCTCTATGAGATGGAAGCCAGCCTGGTCTACATAGTGAGCTGCAGGGCAGCTGAGGCTACAGGGAGACCCTGTCTCATAAAACAAACAAACAAACAAAAATAAAACATTAATGAGGCCCCAGTGTTTCTGGTACCAGCCACACCTCACTGCAAATTTCTCACTGCAAACTCTACCCACTATCTTCTCCCCAGTGGTCTCCAGGGGATATACTCACCTTGGTGGGGAGGTCCTGTGGCTTTGTGCTGAGGTTCTCTGGCATCTCCCAGCATCGAGTGGAGAGGTTCAGGATTGCAGTGGCAGCCATGTGTGCAGCCTCGGCATCATGAGAGTAGTCGAAGCCTACAGAAGAAGGTGAAGTGCTCTCACATAACCACTGGGAGGTGGGACTGCACCTGGAGGAGATGTCTTGGGGGAGGGTTGGCTGCTAAAAGGGAACAACAACCCAGGCTGACACAGACTTGGACAGAGGCATCAGACTAGTAAGGAGAGAGCTGGGGGTCAGGGTATAGTTACAACAATGTGGATTTCAGATGGGTCATTGCCCACTTCCATGTTCTCACAAATCCCTCCCACTATTTTCTTCTCTGATATTGAAGAGGCATTTCATTTCTGACCTGACCATTTAGGGAAAAATAATAAAACTCTGCAAAAATATCCATCATACATGATCATTTCAAACAAACAAACAACTTGCCATCAGCAAATACTAAGAGGCTAAAAATTCGGTAAATATGGTGAATGTTTAGAATACACATATATGGAAAATTTTGTCCCATCATATCAGGAGATGTTACTGTACCTCTGCTGACTTTGTGTCCCCAATAGTAGTTGCTACCTTAATAAAGCAACACAAGTGTGAGTAGGATACCATAAATTAAGGTATAGTTATTTTTCCTAGTCACTATGCTTCAGCTTTAAAATCGCTCACAAGTGATGTTCTGAGTAACCAGAAAACCACTGGTATTGCCAGAGAGATCCAGACATGTGGAAAATTCATTTTGATCCAGCACCCCTGGCCTGCCACCAGCAATGCCATCACAGTCACTTTCTAAGCAGGTGTGGGTACCTGGAAACACCTGGGCCTGGCCAGCAGAGTCTGCTGGAGTCAGGAAGAGACTTATCCCAAAGGCCACTAACCCTAAGAACTATAATTCTAACAGGTAGGAAATTTGTCCTTAATATCTACGGCGCTGACAACATCCACTGGGAAATGCCCATTTAGATTCTCCAGTGCACTAGGTACTTTTCTATCTCACATACATTTCCAAGGTTAATATGCTTACAATCCACAAAGAAGTACAGTAAATTTTAAGAAAAAGGAAGACTGTTTTAAAAGATTTCCAGGAATGACTTTTATCAATATAATTGCCCCTAAAATGTGTTGCTAATGTCACAGACAATACCATTTCCAGTAAGATGGTCCCCACTCAGGAAACTAAGAGGCTTCCTGCCATTGATGGTACTGCCCTGCCCTACCCTACAGATAGGCCTTCCTCAGAGGCAGTGCTGGGAGCAGACACCCTACTCAGCACACTCCAGAGTGGACCACATCAGTGAATCCTCCCTCTTCTGGACATACACAACCATCATGGACCCTTGATTTGCTTTACAAATAATTAGGAGACACATAAAGGCTCAATGAATATGGGTGAGATGCAAGACCCAGGGAAGTCACAACTATGCCCACTGGAGTAGCTGAAGAGAAGGTGAGGCCTCAGGGCCATACCATGTCCCTTCCAGCTCCCCAGAGGACCCCTCCCCACTGTCCCTATGAGGAGCAATGTGAAAGGAGAGACATAAACAATTCTCCCCAACTTACATTGGAAGGCTTTGGGTGAGGTTTCGCTGGTCTGAATCTTTGGGGCAAGCATACGTTTGCCAAAAACCTGAGCATCAAAACTTGCGTAGTCAAAGTTGACCTTGGAGAACTTTTCCAGCTCCTTGGCCAAGTTGGCCCTGGGCGTGGTGGAAGCCACATTGGGTCGGTAGCTCCCATAAGGAGGAACCTCAAGCTGCTTCACAAAGCACATGGGCCTGGGGTATGAGACAAAGATGCAGAACCTGTGAGGGTGGGACTCAGAGACCCCATGCTACCTTTCATCTACCCCCTCCAATGGCCCCAAGCTGAGACCTCATGCAGCCAGGTGATAAGACTCAGGGAGACCCATTCCCCAATACCCTGCCCATAAAGGCTAGTCAGAATTCCACCTCCCAGAATGAAGGGTCCCTGGATAGATCTGAAATCAGTATGAGGAAAAACTGCCTGTGAGGAGGAAACAACAGGAATCTGAAGGAAATAATAGCATGTCCTCATGTTAGTAACATTCCAGAAGAACAAGCCTGAGACCTCCTCTAGAACTTAGGAGAGTGGTTTCTAAGAGTTCAGCTACACGATCAGCAAGAGTTTCTGAAGGAGCAGTTCAGAAAGGAGGGAAGAGGGGATAGGGAAGAAAGCCCCAGCAAGCACCCCAGCTCCTTCTGTTCCTGTCTGGAATAAGCAATGACTTCAGTCAGTCATCAGTGGAATCTGAAAGTGTTGGTGAGGACCTCTGAAACTGGGTTATATAAGAACTTAAAATGTGGTCTGGCCAGGCGTGGTGGCACGTGCCTTTAATCCCAGCACTTGGGAGGCAGAGGCAGGCGGATCTCTGTGAGTTCAAGGCCAGCCTGGTCTACATAGTGAGTTCTAGGACGGCTACAAGGAAACCCTGTCTCAAAAAGACCCCCCAAAAAAATGTGGTCTGAAGAGAGAATGAACAGGCTGACCCTGTAATACTAAGGCCACTTTGATGGACCTGAGAAGATCACATAGCAGAGAGTAGAATGGGAAGGGTGGGTCCCCAGGCTGGACACTGGCTCAGGAACTCCTGATAAATCTTCCAGAGCAAGACTATCTGATATCAGCAAGGAGACAAATGTCTCCTTGACCTCTACATTGGTGCCACACTTTTGTGGCTCCCTTGGCAAGACTATACCCAGAATCTGTAGACTTGAGGTCAGAAGACTCCAGCAAAGCTTTGTAAAGCCTATCCTCATACCCTAGGCTAGGAATTCAGAAATGTGGGCCAAATAAAATTAACAGCCAATGAGAGGCCTCCTGTGTCCATCTGCTGTTACTAATGATGAGCAAGTGCTTGCTGTGGCCTAGGAAAGCAGAATGTTTCTTAAGCTCCTGGATAAATTTTGTTTGTTGTCTGACTTTTCTATGTGAACCAACAGGTCAAAGACTCATGGGCACAGCTTCTATGATGAGGCCTGCCCACTCCCCTGACCTCACCAGACCTCATATCTAGGCCTGTTTGGATGTTTTATCAGTGATTTAGATCAAAGTAGAGAAAGCATCAAATAGCAACTGAAAGGAAGCTGGAAGGAAGAACAAATATGATAAAGGACTATCCCACCTGTGATCACAAGGTCAAAGGTGTCCATGGATGGGACACAAGTGCTCCACAGAGCAAAGGCAAGTCCCTGTCCCCAACCTGAGCTGTGGTGTGTGGGACCACAATTTTTGAGGGTCCCTCTGAAGTAAATTATCGTATGGCATAGCCAAAGAAGGCATCAGAGAACGAGGACTGTGGTCAGGAGTCCTACAAGGAAGAAACAGTGCCAGATCGACCGAGAACTGGCTTTGCTGAGCATATGGTCCTGTATCCCATGCTATATCTGACATGGAACAGGATTCCAGGAACCTGAGGGAAGGAGTTATGAGTTCTAGATCCTCAGAGAAATGGGGAACAAGGTATCTTCTGAGAGAGGACTTTACCTGGCAGTGTCTTCTCAGTGAGGGACACCTCAAGGCCCAGGGACTCATTCTCCCCACCCCACTCCCAAGGTAGAGGACTATAGTTGACTTTAGAGAAGTTTCTGTAGACAGGCCAGCTAGAACATGTCCCTGAGCCTCTGACCTTATTTGTGACACCTACTTTTCAGGGTCACCTGAAAGAAGCACTAGGCAAATGTGTTCTGTTTTCTCTGTCAGAAGACCCTTCAATGATAGCATATCTACGCATGCACACATGCATGCATTTAAGCACATGTGTAAACATAATCATATTGGTACATATACATAAAAAACATGCAGGCATACACACGCCTACATGTCTGTTGCTGTCTCAGATGCTTAGTACCACACAGAAGGCAGCACTCAGAGGAGCAAGTCCTGTGTCCTCCCCTACCTTACCCTGGTATAGGGTCTGTCCTGAGGTGAAACAACAGATGAAGACAACTGGGTACTCCTTGTATGGTGAAGCCCTTGGCTGGTACAGTCTACTCTCTCCATACACTGACCCTGAATAATTCCACTGACCTTATCAGATGCCTTAGGAGAGAGCAAGGCAGAGAAGCCTGTGGCTAAGGCCAGACAGCTGTTTACACCTTAGATGAGGCTTTGGTGAATGTGGCCGATATGTCCTGTGTGCCAAGAGACATGCACACCACCCAGCCCTTGACATTGAGGCCTCTGAAGGCATCTGGGAGGTGATTCCTTCAATTCTGTGGTTCATTTTACCCACCTGAGAATCCGATCTGAATTGGAGCTATTCTTTGAAGGATCTCCTGTCTGCGGCTGCTGCTTCTCATGAGATTTGGCTAACTTTTCAGCAGCAGCAATAGGACACCCAGACAAACTAAAGGAAGAAAAAGAAGAGACATCTGAGCCTTCTCCTCCAAGACAGGTCTGTCCCAGGTTGCCAGACATGTGATTCTTGACAAGCACCATTCAGGCATGAGAGTTTCACGTACATGAGGCCCAGAGCCAACAACACACCTGCCATTCCTACAGGACAGGTTTTCCCTCCAGTTTTGTCCTGAACCCCCAGAGGACAAGCCGCTTAGGTCATTTCTGTTTGGAATAATCTTAAGTCAGTGACAAAAAAATGAAATACACCATGAAAGTCAGCAAATTATGGGCAAAGGATTCTTCCACACAGTCAGGTACCAGGCTCAGCTCTCATCTCCCTCCTCTCCTCTTTCCAATGCTGAGGGATAGATTCTAGAACCATCTCTACATCATATTCTGTAGGCTGACTCAGGGAAACCAAAGGCTACACTCAGACCACAACCTGGGCACTACCTTTGGAGTATACTGGCCCTCCTCATGACCTACTGTTGAGCTTAGGCACCAGCTCCTGGACCATGGGTATAGCACCATCACACCTCTAAGGAACCCATCCTCTTTTCCAACAAAGTAGCCTCTAAAGCCCAGGTGTTCCTCCCAGGTAAATATGTGCCCACTAGGGTCCAGAAGGACCCTGTCAAGATGGACCTGCAGTGCTCTAGATGAGGCTAGGGTATAGTGCCCTATTATGTAGGAAGATGAGCCAATAACTAAATCTGGACATTGGCTTGGGAGCCTCATGTCTACCTAGTCTCAGCATTCCCCCTTGCAGTAACCCTGGCCACTGACATTCTTGTTCATGTCCAAGTTTTTACTCCTACTAGGGGCAAGAGCTAGTGTGCAGAAATTTTCTGAAAATGGGCAAGACATACAGTCTCCACCTGTTCTCATCATAGCAGCATCAGACTTCTCACATGCTCACCTCAGCTCACAGGGAACATGCAGCAACACCAAGGATTGTAGCAACAACAACCCTCCAGCTGCCACCTGCCCAGGCAGTGAGCTACATGTCTGTATAGAACCCATACCAGGTAAGGACTCAAGTTTCAGGCAAGGGACACACACTACAGGCCCAGCCCTGATTCCCCACCACGGCCCAGTTCAGCTCACTACCTTCTGTGTGTGTTGCGATTGCTGTTCACATGGCCTTGGCCTGTGCAGCCAGGAGTGGGGCACTTCAGCACATTCTCATGCATGGCCAAGACTGTAAGAGAACCAGGGAGAGCAAATGGTGAGAGTGGATGGATGGCTGTGGTGGAGGATAGACCAAGGAACCTGTTCAAAGGCGGCAGCTATGTAAACATCGGTGCCCTGGAACGCTGAACCTCACCCAGCCCAGTCAAGCATGTCCTTCCTACCTTGACCCCACCTCCCAGCAAAGAAACTACACTCCATTGTTTTTCTTTTTCAAAATTCTGAATTTAATTTTCACAATTTCTGTTTCCAGCCTAAAAGTAAAATCAGACATTTACTTCCTGAGCACAGAGGCAATTGTGTGAAGGCCTCCACCTGCCCAGCTCAGTGGACACAGCCATCCCTTCTCACAATCTGTATCTATGCAGTCTTCTGACTCTGGGCCTCTGACTCAGGCTGGTAGCTATAGATGGACACCTGAGTAGGCTGTCCCTTATAAGCTCAGATTTGTTTCTAGGCAGCTTGAGAGCCTAAGGATGAATATTTGGAAGCTCAAAGGGTCAAGGTCCTGAGTAGGCTTCCCATTCCCATAAACATCTCCGAATACCACAGGAGCCTGAGCTTCAGGCTTTGGGCTAACCCTGCATGCAGCTACTCACTTTCTGGAGGGATCCTATCCTTGTGGGGGCAACCAGATAGGCTGCGGTGATGAGGGTACAGCCCAGTAACATGGCCAGTGCCATCACAGCCAGGTGTCGGACACTTGATCTCACGCTTCTCAGCTCTGGAAGGATCTAAAACACACAGAACATATGATGTAAAGCAAGGAGACTATAAAGGGAACAGTTAAGGATAACTTCTGTCTAGAAGTAAGACATGGAGTAAGACTGCCCAAGAGCCCAAGAGAGACAGAGGCTGGACGATGAAGCAGCTCTGGAAAAGCTGCTCCAAAGCCCAAGTAATATCCCTCCCACCCAAAATAGCAGAATGGGCACCCCAGTTGGTAGCTGGAGTGTAGGCAATGTGGAGACCTTGCTAAAAGGTATCCTTGGGACTTGACAAAATGAAGAAGACACAAGTTATATGACATCCAAAACTATGTGACTAATGAATGCCTGGGCAGAAAATTTAAACTCCAAATCTCAGTTTTCAACCTCAATTCTGCAGATCCATGTAGCTCATTTATCAAGTGTGAAGACCAGGAGGAAATGGAGGATCTTCAGAGCACATCTGATATCTCAGAGAAACTCCTTTTGCGATAGGCCACCAGAGAGTCAAGCTTGGAAACCCAGCAAAGCACACCAGGGGAAAGGATGTCTGTTCTGTCCCTCCAAATTCAAATGTGCAGGAAATGATAACTTCTACCCAGTTAAGCAGGCAGGAATGTCCTGAAAGACTCAAATCCTGTGCCCATGACCTGCCTCTACCCCCTAACATCAGTCCCACCATTTGTTCCTCCACATGTCAATATGCATATGTTCCTACAGTCCAAATGTGCTACCCAGTGTTCCCCTGGGTCATGCCCTATGAATCCCTGAGTGAAAGGCACTTTGCCCCTGGTCCCTAATATTTAGCCACAGGTCAAAGTTCTTCAAACTCCTAGGCTTGTTAATGTCTGTCATTCAGTGTCCCACCAAAGCCTTTCCTTTTTAGGAACCCAAAGTCTGACAAACTCAGGCTCCTGTACCTATCCTGAAACTGTCTCACTTCAACCTGTACACCTTGGTGCCAGTTTCCCCTAAGTCTGAGCCCGGAAATACTGGCTTAAATCTCCCCCTCCCCAAAATTTCAACCCCAGTCTGCATCATCCTGAAGGGTATCAACTCAAGAGCCACCCTCCATGTCTACCTCACCCACAAAATTTGTCCCCAATTACATCTCCTCAGTATCTGTCCTCTGAGTTTATCTCATAGGAATGGGCATTCCAAGAAAGTATGTCCCAATGTCTCTACCAAGTTCCTAGCTGAGATCTTAAATCTGAATTTTTCTTACTACAGTCTGTCTCTCCCATGACCCAAGTGTGCCTCCCAGAGGCGCCACACATGCATGTCTCCTACCTTCTTGGTTTCTGGCTCTAGTGTCTGAGTCACCCCACCCCTGATCTCTCTCCTCAGCTGCCCCCTCCCTAGTGTCAGCTAACCCTTCCTGGAAGCAGGATGTAGAAGAGCACAGAGTCCAGAGAAGAGAGTTTGGCCTGGAAAAAGGAAATGGGACTGAGGTCAGGACCGCTCCATGACCTTAGAATAAAGGCCCAGGGAGACCCAAAGTCACAACTGGCCCATGCAAGGCCTGGCCTCAGGCATGGTAAGGCTGAATCCCTTAGGGAGAAGCTCCAGGCACCTGTCCTGGGCCCAGGAGGTACTTGAGATGGGCAGACAGCAACATATGACCAACCTGTCCTACAGGCCTTGGTACCCATGTCATACCTGTGGCTATACCATTTGCTCAAGGTCTGTCCTCAGATCTGATTTCCAGTCTCCTGCCTCTCCCCGATATTGGCCCATACTCACACCCCTTCCACTAGCCCAGTATGACCGTCCTCCACTGGACATCATCACTCAACAAGGTCAGGAAGTACTGTGCCTAAACCCTGGACTTTAGTGCATTTAGTACATTTAAGTCCAAATGCAAAGCTAGCGGCAGTCTGTACCTTTTGGAGAACAGAAGAGAGACATCCTTCAAGTCTTCTTTAAGGTCCAACTCCATGGGGAGTGTTCAGGATGACCAAAAATGGTCTCAGAAAACAGCTTTCAGGGATTGAAGGCATCAAGTGCCAGGCTCTGTGACTGCATAATCCCTGCTACAGGTTTAGGCCAGTGGCAGAAATAAACTGAGTGGCACAGTAACTGGGTCATCAATCTGCCTTCCTTTCTCTCTCCTGCCTAGCTCCTCACACATCTCAGTTCCATGTCTCGCTTCAGATCATCTTACATGAAACAGCATGAGTCCATTTCCTCAATATTTGACCCCAGTTCTGTGTTTATTTGTCCCCATCTGCTCTTCCATTCTCCTCCTACTCCAGCATATGACAGCCTCTGATTAGGTCTCTCTCCAGCCTCCATCTGCACCCTCAGTAAAGCTGATGCCCCTGGCAATGGGATGACAAGGTGGGTAAGCAGGGAAAGTCACGTTAGCCTACCTTTGCTGTAGCAGCTCTTCCTCACCATGTCCAAGGGCTTTGCCATCTTCCCTGGCTCTCCTGGGCCCAACTGGCCCTGTTCAGCAGGCGAACAGCCTGGCTCACAGACAGCACGCACCTGCTCAGCCTTCAGAGCAATGGCCTGTTCCAGAAGACCCAGGTTCCCACGGGTCATCATGTCATACATCTCTGATTCATCTGTGACTGTTGACTTCTGAGAGTGTGTGTCCTCATCCTTGTCATCATCAGAACGAACCTCTACAATGACAGAGTACTCAGACTTGGGACTGGGTAGTTCTGGGCGCCGGGACTCAGGAGCAGCCTTCTGAGCAGAGGTATGGGAAGTGTCTTCCCCAAAGATTATATTAGGAGCTGTCTCCTCCCCCTCTTCCTCCTCTTCTTCCTCCTCTTCCTCCTCTTCTTCCTCCTCCTCGTCTTCCTCTTCTTCTAGTTCCTCTCCTTCCTCCTCTTCCTCCTCCTCCTCTTCCTCTTCTTCCTCCTCCTCATCCTCCTCCTCCTCATCTTCTTCCTCCTCATGACCCAGGACACCTTTCTGCTTATTTGACTCCTCACTGGCCACATCCTCCAGAGACTGGGTACGTGGCTCCTGGGAACGCTCACTGGTGACTTCAACGACTTCCTCCACATCCTCTGGCTGTATAAAGAGGTCTTTTTCACCCTCATCACTGTTAGCTCCGACTGCAGTCTCATCCTGAAGTTGTTGGACAACAGTGGGGCCTGACTTGTTCATGGGGACTGAATCCTCCCCAACAAGGGTCTCTTCAGCAATTTGGCCTAGGTTTAGGAGGGAAGTTGCAATGATTCCTTGGTAGCTGCTGTAGCTGCCCTTTGAAAGAGTAGAGGGGCTGCTGGTGGGGTTGGATCCAAAATGGGGCTTGATGGGGTTCTTTCCTGCATGAAATCAGAAATACCATGGGGTTGGAGGAGAACATTGGGGAATGCCTCCAGGTTTCTGCTCCCAACAGTGGCTAGCCCCTATTGAGTATTTTATATTTCATCATGTTCATTCTCAAATGAGGTAGACCTGCATTTTATACAGTGGAACTTAAAGAGGAAAATCAGATGAAAAGCTGTCTCATAATTGAAAAGCATCTATACCTTTAAAGGACTCAAATTTAGATCTTTTAAGCATGGTAACTAAAGCATGCTCACTATGTACTGGCTTTGTGGGACTCATGAGCCACTGTTTTCAGCCACAGTTGGAGCCAGCTGTGCTGGGTGGTACTCCAAGAAGCCAGTGGGCTGAGGGATTTTCTACCTGAAATATAAACTAGCTTGGTTCCATGGGCTGTGCACTTACTCCAGAGTCACAAGTAGGGAAGCCAGAGTGAGCTCAACATGGATTGCTTCAGAAATAGGACAAAAATCCATCTCAATTGTTCATAGTCAGATGATCCCAGGTTCAGAAGGCAAGGGTCCCTCAGCAGCCCTCTTTCTTCTCTTAAATTCTACAGGGAATCTACCTTTAGAGACCTGACTGGGGCCTGATTCAGCCTAAACTGAGAAACTTTCTCAGTATCTGCCCTTAGTGTCTCAGGACGAAGCAGATCCAGCCTAGTCAACTATCTCATGACCCAGGCAGGGTAGGCTCTGTCTAAGAGCCCTTACACAACAGAGACATAGCACACATCATATATCTCTTACACACACAGACATGCCTTGGAAACACATTCACTTCTGTGAGTACATGGGAATATGAGATTCATGTCCAGGTCCACCTTACCATCTCTCTACTGCACACAGTAGTCAACTCATACACTATACCCTCCCCCATGTCCTGGGTAGGCCCCTCTTCCAGGAAGCTGCACACATCAGAACAAGACATGCCTTGTTCTCAAGACAGCTTTTCCCACTGAGCTGAGCCCCCCTCTAGCCCCCTCACAGGCTGCAATTCTCCAGGGCCACACTAAGCATCCTTTATTCAGAAGAGAAAGAGCAACATAGCACCTTCAGCTGGCTCAGAGTGATGAATCTCCTCCTGTCCTGACATCTCAGCCTCAGCCTCCTCCAGAGGTTCTTCCGATTCATCCGAAACAGAGGCGTCCTTCACCTCAGTGTCTTCACTGCCATCACTGTCCATACGGTAGCCCTCATCCAGAGCCAATCTCAGGGGGTGCAACTTCCTCTTGGATACCAGGTGCTCAGCCTCAGTACCCTCCAGCTTCCTCTTCTTGGCCAGAGGGCAGCTCTGTAAACTAGAATGGAGGATGAGTGATGGCCAAGAGCCAGATCAGCCCCATATGCACCCAGGAGGCTATTTCCAAGGGTTCCTCTTTTGTAGTTGCTCTTAGATGGAGCCCCAAACTCTGGTGTATTTGAATTTTTATATCTAATTACAAACATTTAAAATCTCCCAATTGTGTTTTAAATTGCATTACAGTGAGCCAAGCCAACAAATGGAGTAAAGACTCAGGCCCCACAGGGCTCCTCTACCCCAGACTACTACTCTCCAAGCCATCCTTCAGACCCAGCTACTATCCTTTATGTACCCCAAGCTGATCTCAACTGATTTCCTCCCAACCTAGGCCTTTCCTCTCTGCCTTTAGATCTCTACACCTATACCCATCCAGGAAAATGGCACTATAGTCCCCAGGGAAACCTAGCTGACTGCAGGAATGACTACACTGACAGCCATAGCTCACACTTGTCTCCCCCATGTGTACCAGGCCTGCTTTAAGCTATGCCATACAGGCACAGCCAGGATCTGCAGTAGTCCCTGCTGGGAAAACCAGGGTGCCAAACAGGCAAACTACCATGCCTAGTTGCACCCTCATGGCCAGGATCACGTCAGCAAAGGCACCAAAGGAACATAGGCCAGTGGGAAGACACTAGGACTTAAAAGGGTCAGATCAGCCTGGCCTCAACAGCCACAGACAAAATGGAAAGTTTTTAATCCACAAAAGATACCAAATCAGGGGAAGGGATAGTTCCCAAACCTCCTTCCAGTAGCCTCTGAGACTACTGACAGGCTTCTTACCTTCGGTGCCTGGAGTACTTGCCCCGGACATGTCCTGAGCCTGTGCATCCTGGAGTGGGACAGCTGGAGGAAAAAGCAGAAGTCACCTTGGGCAACAGGACTTAGGTCTCAGGGAAAATTTAACTCCACCCTGAAGAGCAAGAGAGGGTTTCTAAATAGCTCATTTCAAGATGGACACTGGCAATTTGCTTAAAAATAGTGAAATAATTCAATCCATTTAAACAAGCAAATGACTAGTTATAGTGTTATGTCTGTGTTTAATTAAAGATCTATATATACAAGAGCAAGGCTTCTAACACCCACATCTGTTGGATGGCTTCTTTTTCCCACAGCAGACATTCCACCAGCTGCTACCAGGCTTCCAGAGGCTTTGGAATGCAAGTATCCCTCTCTAAAGAGGACTCATTGCTTGTTTGGCCCAAGTCCAGAGCACAGAGATTGGATTTCTCCATGTACATCACTGGTGTTGTGATGCTTCAGCATCCAAGGCGATAGTCTGTACTCCTTTCCCACCAAATTGGACATGGACTGTCAGGCAAGAAGGGCTCTGTGTGACCCAAGCCAGAGCCATCTGGTAAAGACTCTAATCCAGCACCCACAACCAGCTGTTGGTCTCAGCTTCCACTTAAGAAGGGAAGCCAGGAAGGCTGATCCGTTAAAAGACATCCATTCTGCCTAGTAGAAAACTTAGCTATACTGAGAAGGTCAGAGCCCCCAACAGAGGTTGACAAATATAAGAGCATGAAAGATAGATATTCAGGAGTTCCTTACTTTCAGCCATAAACATGACCAAACCAGGGGGAAATCTCTGAAAATGTCCAATTATAGGCACTAACACCAACATACTGCCCAGCCTACAGGTGCCCTCAGGTTAGAGCAGCTACAGGGAGGCTTGTGTGGCATGAGAATCCAGTGTACACCATGGCTCAATTCCTGTGGGTTGCAAGAAGCTGCCACTAACCCATGTGCTGTGGATCAGCAAGATGGAAACTGTGAGGCCATCTGAGGGAGGGAGATGTTAGACCTCAGTCCCTTGTCAGGGAACTGAGCCTCCCAGTGGCAACAGAGAACCCACTTCTAACAAAATTGCTATTGTGGGTCTGAACTCTTGCCTGGGATCAGTCTGGGTTCTCCCAAAATCTTTTCAGAACCTGCAAAAGGAGGCATATGGGGCGTGGCTGCTGGGACTTAGGGCAGGAACCATCCCACCTCAGTCTAGACACCCCTTGATGGTCTCCAGTGGGTTGGCCATGGCCTGACTGCAGATGCTGGAGGTCCAACTAGCCATGCCAGTCACATTTGCCTTCCCACTGAATGCATATTCATTTCCCCAACAAGGGGCTGAGATCTGGTATTCTCCCTCCCTCACAGTTTTCATCTTGCTGGCCCACAGTGCCATAGGTTAGTGGAGGCTTCTCCCATGGGCTACCATGGATGCTATGCATAGCAGTAATCTTTGATGTGTTAAAAGATGAAGGGAGAAGACTGGAGAGATGGCTCAACAGTTAAGAGCCCCGGCTGCTCTTGCAGAAGACCCAGGTTCAGTTCCCAGCACTCACTTTATAACTGCAGTTCCAAAGGATCCAATGCCCTCTTCTGGCCTCTGCAGGCTTTACACACACAGATGCACTTACAGACATTCAGGCAAAACACTCATACACATAAAATAAATCACTTAATCAAAAAAAAAATGAAGAGAGGCAGAGAAGAGAGAGGAGATTAAATCAGGGCAGAAGGAACAAAGGAAGGAAAAGCACAGGAGTATTTTATCAAATTTCCTTCCCAGGCGGGGGGATTCCTGCTGCCCTTGGTTGAGTCTACTATAAAATCCAAGTTCACACTTGCTTTCACTCTCTCAAGAAGTAACTTTGAGAATTAGTCGACTAATCACTGAGTTAATCAGGCAATTAGGCAACAGCTGTTGGAGGCCTGTGGGGCACTGGCACTGCCCCCATGTCACATGCTCCAAGCAACTCTTCTACCCCACTCAGAAGAATCCTTGTTTTCAGCCAAGTGAACCTATACCTTCTCACCAAGTTCTGAGAAGGAGAGAACTAGCTCTGAGCTCGGTGAAGCTGACAAGGCCACTCTGGGACAGGAAGCTCAAACACAGAAGCAGAAGAAACATCAAACAGAGTGACATCATACCCAAAAACTACAATGGTAGCAGGCATTAATCGGCTCATAGGGTCACCTGTGAACACACATGAACACCTAGGAGTACATATGTGCACCTATGCCCACACATGAGCACCAATGAGTACAGTGAACATACAAGTGCTCTTATATGCATATATTAGCAGCTGTGGCCATCTATGAACACATGTAAGTACTTGGAGCACACTGAACATTTGTGAGCACACATGAGCACAGTCATCTACTAATGCCTCCATACTCCTAGGGCCAGACATAGAGTGAGCAGGTGGCAAGGGCTCCAGGCCTCCTGAGTTTCCCCCACCCACTGAAAGAAAAGACAAACCAAAGTGATCCCTCCCCTGCCACTTGGTGGGCATGTGTGTTCACAGACAGTCACAGGTGCTCATGTGTGCTCTTAGGATGTCATGGGCGCTCATAGACAGACATAGATAATTATGTGTGCTCATAAGCATACAACAACAAATCCCCTAAATCTCCCTGTTTGGGCTCCAGTGTGACTAAGGTCAGGATGAGAGTCAGAAGGAGACAGAGAAGTGAGGAGCCAAGGGCCTGACTGATGACCACCTCACAATAAGACACAGATATCTAGGAACCCAAGTTGGAAGAGAGGTCAAATCCCAGGTTGGAGCACCATGCTCTGACTACCACCCCTTGAAGGGATTGGCTCCTCCCCAACCATGGGAGGAAAATCTTATACTCACCTGTCCTCTAGCTCAAGGAAGAAGGACCCCTCAAGATGAAGAAGAGTGAGCTGCAGGGTACATTTGGGGACAGCTCTAACCAGCCCACTAATATGTCTCAAAGACACTGATCCCAACCCTCCCCAATTCCTGCCTCAGCAGGGCCTCCCTGAAGTTGTGTAATGGCTGCTAGATACCACCAAAATAAAAACTGGGGTATATGTCAGTTCTTCCAAGGATATTGAGGGATAGCCATTAAATTCATTTCTTTTCTTGGGTACGTGTGTTTCAGGGAACAGGTGGGCTGAGAGACCTCATTTGGGTCTTATTTGTTCCAGTCTGAGTCCCTCAGTTATGTTGTTAACAGCCACTTTACAGCCTCCCAGAAAAATGTGTCCTTCTAAGAGCTCTGACTGAGCCAGGGAGGAACCCAGGGGTGGGGTACTACAAGCTGTGGAGTTCTAAATCAAAGGGGAATAAATCCCTCATCCACGAAGAGACCTGAAAAACAGGGCTGCACGCAAATGAGTTTACTTAATATCACAATTAGCACACACAACATCAACATGACATTCTCCTTTCAGACCATAACAACAAGCCCTCTATGGGTCACACTCCCTATTCTGGCACCTATAGTGTGAACCCTACCTAAACTGAGGTCTCCTCTGCTTGTGTGATCAGAGTCATGGTGTCCTAGTAAACAGGCCCTTGGAGAGGGAAAAGAGCATGTGCCCATGAGACATAAATGCTCCCACCACAGCCAGTGTGCAGTCAGCCAGTGTGAGCATACATACTGCAGATCATTTGTATATGGTACTGTAGACAACAAACCCACAGACACAGAAGTGAGTGACACTGTCTGCAAAAATCACCAAGAGGAACTTGTCACTGGTTTTTGAGGATCATGGTAGTAGTTCAGGTTCCAGTGGAGACAGGTGCCTGGGTCACCTCAGGGTGGGGTCAGTTAAGAGCTAAGGAAGAGCACAGTCGGGTACAGATAGCAAGATTCGGCACAGAAAGAAGCAATATCCTCAAAGAAAACGGGCTTGCATGGGGACATTTATTTAGAATATCTCCAAGGTCACAGGCAAGCAAGTGGTAGGTGATGTTCATGCAAATAGGAAGACTCCCTTACCTGAGGTCTGCACCTGTGGTCTCAGGGGGTCCTGGGTAAGAGAAAGAGAGAAATAGGGAAATATACATACATAGGACTTGGACTTTTAAAAGCATGTTTCCTGGGGCTGGAGAGATGGCTCAGCGGTTAAGAACACTGGTTGTTCTTACAGAAGACCTGGGTTCGAATCCCAGCACCCATATGGCAGCTAACAACTGTCCATAACTCCAGTTCCAGGGGATCCGATGGCCCTTTCTGTCCTCCGCCGGCATTGCACGACACAGGTGAACTTACCTACATGCAGGCAATACACTCATACACATAAAATAAAAATAATAAATAAAATATTTTTTTAAAAAGCATGTTTCCCTAAAAATATAAACCGAATGAAATAGTTGCCAAGGACAAAGGAGCAAGCCTAGTAAACTCTGAACAGCTCCTCTGGTGCCTACCCTTTGCTGACCTGCTGAACTACCTCCTCAACAAAGTGCTTTCCCTAGACTCCCCTCCCCTCCAGGTTTGAGAGCGGACCTAATCTTCTCACCACCCTCAGGCCCAGGGTGTTTTCTCTTTCTCTAATTGCAGGTAAATGTCAGCTTTTGGCAGGAGATATTACCCACCAGATCAAGCTGAACAAAGACCAGAACCAACAAGCGTGTGGCTAGCCACAGTGATGGGCACCGGTTGCAAGATATGCAAGGATCCAACGAAGGACAAGCAGCCCTCAGATATTCAAAGTTCCTGGATACTTACTGTAGAGCACAATAAGAAGCTCCAGGTACAAGAGAAGGGAGATAGCCAAGCAGGTAAGGCTCAATCCTAGTAAAATGAGGAGTGCCTCAGCCCCTCCTCTCCATCCACTGCAAGATCTACCCAACAGTTTCCAAGTCCCCACCAGCACCAGGACTTATCTCTTCCCAAGAGCAGCCTTTCCTTTCCAAGTTAAGCAGGTTCCTGACTGAATTCTGCTATCCCCACTCCATGGAACTGCACCTGCCCCCACATCTTAGTGCATGGCAAGTCTGTATGGACTGAAGGATCTCAGGAGACCCTCAGATACAACATTGAGGAGCGCCTGCTAAAAGCCTAAGGTCTTATGCACCTGTTGTGGGTCAAAGGCTGCTGGGAAACTGGGCATTTATGGTGTGGAACTTGTACTCCCGAGAAGAAATGTTGTGTAGAGTGATGTCAACAGTTCCAGAGAGGGCAGCTGCCAAGGATGGGGACCCACCTAGGTGAGTTGGCACTCACCTCGGAGGGCCTTGGACCGTGTGCGGGCTCGCTTGTCATCATTTTCTAAGCTCATCTGCAAGCAAAAAACAAGGGCAATGTTAAGAAGTAGCCCTGGCCAGTACTTGCCTTGTTTTGAACCATCAAGGACATCTGGCTTTATGGTGACAGGATCTCTATGACCTAGACTGACAAGAATGGGACCAGGAACAGAAAGTTGGGAAAGTATGAGGAGGTGCTGCTAGCTGGAGAACACCAGGAAGGCTCTGTGGTAATTTACCCATACTGCCTAGAAACTCACAGTGCTCCCCCAATTGTTCCATGTTTATATCTGCCCTCAAAAGTCACAGCCTTGTGTGCAAAGGCATTTTATAAAACAAGGGGCTCCTGGCACAAGGAGCAACCCACTGCTCACCTGGCCAGGCAAGTACTAAGGTACAGGGCACATTGCTAAGCAATTGGTTTTCATGGATACTTCCTTCCTACTCAGCACAGGTATTAATGTCCCTAAGACAGTATGATTAGGGTTATGGTTAAGGTTCTAAGTGGAAACTGGTGCCTTGAGCAACCCCAGCCCACATGTCCTTTGGTCTACTAAGGACTGCCAAACCCATCATAATCCTCACCCACCTAGGGAAGCCTTGATGGGGCTTGCTGCCCACAACATGGCCACCAGGAGCATAACAGTCATAGAAAGGACATGCCTAAGGATGAGGGCTCCCCAGGTGAATTCTTATCCTGTGTCACCATGACCAATCTAGAAAAACAGGTAAAATCCTAGCAAGTTCTGTATGTGGAAAACAACCTCTCCCAGGTAGCAGGGCTGGGAGGGGCGGGTGTGCACCCATGTAGGAGAGTGGCTGACCCAGGCTTCACTACCTGTCCCCAGGCTCAGGAAAGAAAGAGAACAATAGCCCAGTATAATGGCACATGCCTTTAATTCCAGCAGTGGGAAGGCAGAGGCAGGTGGATCTCTGAATTCCAGGCTAGCCTGGTCTATGTAGTGAGTTCCAGGACAGCTGGAACTATAGGGAGACACTGTCTCAAAAAGTAAACAAAAGAAAAGAAGGAGGAGGAAGAGGAGGAAGAAGGGGGGGCAGAAAATCTACATCTGCCCCAGACCACAGATACCACCAGGACAAGGCTCTTTGTGTAAGATTTGACAAAGAGGGAAGTGAGAGAGTGGAAGATGTTGCCCAAGGAATGCAATGAGACCAGAAGTCCATGCCACCCATTCATCAAAATGTAGATATATTTCCTAAAAGCTAGCAAAAGGCAAACCTCCATCGTACCACCTAAGAAGAAAACAGAATTCCCTAGCTAGCAAGTGAAATTCACAAGTTAACCTCCCAATGAAGCAGCCTAGCATACAGTGATTTATGTGATTTTTTTAAGGAAGAAAACTCAAAATCAGGATAATGTATGCAACCTGTGGGCTCCAGGTTGTGGAGCATATTATAAGCCATGTGTTTATTATAGCCGTCCCATAGAACTGAAGACAATTACTATAATTTCTATTTTTAAAGCAGAGGTTCCCCATGGACCAATGGCTTACATTTAAAGTGATGAGAGAAGCAGGTGTCAAAGAGACTTCATTACATTTATGAGCCTTCAAATGTTGACTGCACTAAGCCTGTGCACAAAGTCTTCTGAGGCAAGCCACACAATGGGGCTGATACATCTGATTGCCCCATGCCTGTGTTCAGCTGAAATGTAATCTATAGCTTTTTTTGTCAGTTTTCCCAAGGAAATTGGCAGGCATTTTGCTAGGTTAAAGCATGTCTTGGCAATTTGGATTTCCTGTGGATAAATTATCTAAAAAGCAGAGAATAGAGTTATAGGGATATGTGATGAGCACTGCTTGCAAACTGTGAGCTCCTATTGAGGAAGCTAACAGCTGTGGCATTCATTGTCCTGAACACCTTCTAATTGCAATTTATCAGCATCAAATGGTCAATGCACAAGAAATTCTCTTCAGTGTGTATAGCTTTGATTTTAGGAGGAAAATCCTGAACTGTGAGAGAGAAAGCTGGGTTCTTTAATATGGTGAGAATGTGTTTGTAGGAGCTGAACAACTTGTGACTCCAACACTAAGAAGGGGTCATTTTCCTCTCATTGCTTGAAACTGGCAGTGATAGCTGCTGTAGAGGTATCTGCTAGTGTGGGAGCCAGCCCCAGTCAATCCACATGCTTTCCTTTACAGAAGGACTCAAAGAACTGAAGATCTCTTGCCTTGAGGTAGTGCCCCACAAGGCAGTCCTGTGCCTAGAACTGCCCAGGCTTATCCACTAATTGGCCTGGCAGCATACCCCAAGACCTTCTGTCCACTCCACACAGGAATGATCCCAGCCCATAGGGAGTTGTTCACTGATAAAAAGACTTCTCAATTTCCTGTTGATTTATTTTTTAAAACCCTTACTTGTTCTAAACACAAACCAACTAGGACCTGTTTTTTATACAGCCTACACATAACTCAATGTCCTCTTGCCATGAGGATGAAAGACCCCCTTTGTTGAGACAAACCAATCTCACTCCCCACTCACTGTGAAGCCAGGAATCCTGCCCAAGAGCAGCATCTGCTGTTTCTATAACACCAACTTCATACTGCTGACTGAACACATCTTACAGCTCAAACATTTCATCAGTTTTGCTTTATATAGAAAAACTGGAAAGAATAATTTATAAATGCAAACACATTGTGTTTTGCCACATATATTAGCCAGAGAAAAGTGTGCCTCCATCCAGCTGCTAAACTTGATTTCTTGGTACTACACTTAAAAGCACTCTAACTGGAGGGTGTTTTTGCTTTGTTCTGTTCTGTATCGCTTTAGTAAAGGCAAGACCAGTCATGCTGGCTCTTTTTGAAACCCAATGACTAGCCCCTTTTCAGATTTATCTGCATAGTACCCTTGCCAAACTGAACACCCTGTGTTTAACCTTTACAGACTCAAGTACCAAAATAGCAAATGCACCAACCTCAAAGCCTAAAGATGCCTCTTGGCTCTGTGCTGATTGTCTAAGGAATAAACTCGGAACTTAACACAGCCAAAAACCAATGACAAATGTCTGGTCTTTCAGAAGAAATCGTGGATTCAACTTTCCATAGGACCAAGTATTCCCTAAGCCAGTCAGCTTGTATTGACTTTCACCTTAACCTCAGAGGCCAACTGCTCACCCCTTCCAGTGGAAGGCCCCCTCCCCACATCTTGCCTTTCTGTATTAATGGCCAAAGACCATACAAGAGCAGAATCTGTGCTGAATCCTTGCCCCAACAGGAAGTGTCTTGGCCCTAGGAGGTTTGCACATCACTCCAAAAAGGTGATGGAGGCTAATCATGCATGAGCACAAATATAAAGGAGCTGCTGAGGTCTGAGCGCCTGGATAAGAATAGGGATGATGATCTGATCAGTACAGATCTGAGGATATCCAAAAGAGACATCTCAGGACTGGGGTGCTTTTAACTCCAGACTCTGAGAGCACCTATGGGTGGCCAGCACCAATTCAATGATTAGCCCTCTGCTTTCTTCTAACCACTCACATTCCTCTGGTTTTCTACCCTTCGCCTGTTCATCTCCTGCAGGGTCCTCATCTCGTGCTGAGGAGAGCTCCTTCCTCCACAGATGTGAGGCTATTCACTGTCTCCTGCAAAGAGCTTCCAAGGACACATCATGCACAAAGGGCAGATGGGGAAAAGTAAGTATGTGAAGCAGTCAGAAGATGCTGATGCTGGAGGTGGAGGGGCACGTCAGAGGGACTGATCAGATAGTTGCTGAGCCTCCTGACACCATGGGCTATCCATTCTAGCTCTGGACTGGAGGGAGACACTTTAATGTTTTATTTTACTTAAACTGTGTCTAAAAACCAACAAAACTGAGCAACTAAAATAGGTTTAGGACAAATTTTAAATCCATGGGATCGTGTGGATTATAGTGTACTAGTAGAGGGTTGAGCCCTCTTGTACAATACTCTTCCTCCAAAGATCTGGAGGAGGATGTTTTCTGACTCCTGGGAACCATGGTAACCCTGCCCAGAGAAAGGAGCTGAGGAAGACATGGGGTGAAAACACCTCAGAGAACAGGCCATCCCCTGTCCTGCTTGTCTTAGCAGTGTCTATTCCCTCCATTGAGGGGAAAATGGAATGCAATTACTTGTCTTGTTTTGACCTCCCCTTGTGGGTAGCCAAGAGGGACACCAGCTCTCTTGTCCCCTGACAGCAATAAGCATTAACTTGTGCCAATCTAGGTCCAGGCCACCACAGGAGGTGGGGGGTATTTTATTTAGGGTTTATGGGCAGTCTCCACAAGCACTCTAGTGGGGTAGTTCAGAGCCCGCATCCTTTTGAATATGAGTTCTAAACCAGGTCAGCTCATAACCACAAAACAATGCAGAAGTTACTCAGAAACCCAGTATATATCCTATTTCCCTTTACCTGTGGCCAAACCATGTGCCCACACCTCATCATAGCATCTCCTGGTTCCTTGAAGTGACAGTTCCCACCATGCATTTGACATTCCCCTCACAGTTCTTCCACCCTTTGTACAACTTGCTTGCAAGTAGACCAGTCACCTCTTTGGGTATAGAAAAGTCACCACCCATGGGGCATTATTCAGTACGTGCTTTAGGAGAGGAGCTCTGGACAGTTCTAAACATGAGATCTTGGCTCACTCCAACCCAAAAATTAAAATTTATGGGCACAGAATAGATACTTTGATAAACCAGTCATAATTGTTTCAAATTGTGCATAAAAATAATTAACTGCTTTCTTTCTTCTTTGAGACAGGGTCTCACTATATAGCCCAAACTAGTCTTGAACTCTTTGTCCTCTTACTTTAGCTTTCCAAGTGCTGGGATTCCAATTGTGTCAACATATAGATATTATTTGTATTTCTCCAGGATATACTCCAAACAGCATCAAGTGAAACAACCAGAAAGGTCACATGCAGAGTCACCTACCTCCCTGGCCTACTCCTCACCTTAGTTTTAACTCAGAACAACATCTCAGGTCACATGCCCCAAAATAAAGGAGAGTGGCTTATTGATGGGACAGTTGTGGAGCCCTAGTGCTGCAAAGAGGGTCTGAGTGTGGGCCCCAAGTTCATTCCCAGCACCTGTATTTTGAACAGTCACATGTAGTTCATGACAGGCTCAAATCATCTGAGCTTGTGCTTCAGCTGTGGGATGGCCAAAATCTTCTTACCCCCACCTTGACAGGGTGCCAAGCAACCACAGAAAATACTTCACCCAGAGCCTAGGTCAGGTTACTTTTACAATCATGTGATTTGGCACCAGTGTCACTTAAGAAATCCTCTGGGCTACAGTAGAGTGAAATGAGGGAGGTCAAAAACTCAGTGATGGAGAGATATAATACTTTACTATGATATTTTAGGACATCAACAATAATGTAAAAATTCTAAAATAGATAAAATGCCACAATTCAGTATAGATACAAGATCAATATTCCTCATGCCAAAGGTTTCAATGTGGTCCTCAACACATCCATAACCCAATAGAACCAAAATGAGTGAAAGCGCAAGGTAGCCATAACAGACCAATTATAATAAACGTACACGCTCACCTTTAGATACAAAAGAAAAATATTATACTCTAGCAGTAAAATGCAAGCACCCTAAGATGTAGGCCTGCCTTGCCTAGGTGCTGACTGAGATATCCAATACAAAGTCTCACCATGCCAGATGAGAGCTTGACAATTGACCTCAAGGAAGGCTCCATGCTGCTTTCCACCTTGACTCCCAGCTCTGTAGTCACATTCTCTGGGGAGCTGGTCTCACACAGTGAAGGCGACTCCCTAAGCTTAGGAGTATCCCTGGGTGCAAGGAGCCTGGGTCACCCATCATGCATTCTGGGCAGGCATGAGAAAGAGTGTACCATTACCATATTAAGAAGATATGCAGACCTCATGGGTCCCTACAGCAGAATTCACTATCAGACCCTAAGGACTATGAGCTTACTCATAGGTAAAGGAAGAACAGGTACCAAGGCACATGACTAAGCCTAAGTGTGAACACACAAGGTAAGGAACTGGCTGAAAAGCCACATGTACTTTTATCTATTCAGTCATTCTTCTTCTAACTTTAAAGTGACTAGGTGATCCTGATCCCTGTCCAGTCTCTGAGGGCAGCCATCCACTCTGTGCTCATGTCCAAGAGTGGGAAGAGGTCAACACAGGAATTCCAAGGGCAAACCCTCACCTTGTTGTATCTGCACAGGAAACTTTTCTTGGTCCTGCAGCTGCTGGCCTTGTCTCCCTGTGTCCACCTCTGGGTCAGCAGCTTGCCCCGGAACTCATTTTCTGAAGGTTTAAAAAATACAGGATCAGAAAAGGAAAATCTAATACCAGCCAAGAAGACCCAAGAAGAGAAAGGAAAAAAATGTTGGGACGCTTTTATATAGCCTTTATACAATCTAGAATCTATCAGAAAAACAGACAAATCCATGTCCCATAGCTGTTCTATGAAAAAGAAAAAGGCCTTCTGTTTTAGGAGAGAGACTCTATACCATTGTTCCACTTCTGATGGCTACTTAGCACATGTCACAGGGTATAGATATCCATGAACATGGCTATTTGAATCAAGGGTATTAATGTGAATCATGTGAGACCCACCTTGAAAAATCCTGGCACTGAGGCTCCCCAGCTTTGAAAATTAGCTGCCCAATGAGCTAATCGCTCAGTTATAACTACATCCCTTGTTGTCCCAAAAGACTGTACAGCCCAGATCCATTTGCCAAAAAAAAGGCACATTGTGTCATTCAACTTCTCTACAGCCCATAGACTGAGGAAAGTAAAGTTCATCCTATTCAGCTCTGATATGTTCAGCTCTGATAACACTGCCTTCCACAAGGAGCCCTGGGCCCCACCATCACTCAGTGCCTGTTTTCAGTGTCTTTTCTCTCCTTAGTTTCTGTTCCTCTTCAGGGCAATGCCTCCTGTTAATATTTAATTCTTCACATAAATTCACATATCTAAGCAGAGGCTGAATGCATCAGCTGGACATGACAAAGAAATGCATTGTGTACCTATTCCCTGCACGTCACTCCCTGTCTCCATGACAACCTGCTTTCTGCACTGCGGAGTTTCAAAGGAAGGTCATTAGTAACCAACAATAAAAACAGGAAATGAATATTCCTTCATTTTGCTCTCTTCTCTTTGGAAGTGAGTTTAGATTTGGCTTAAGGAAGATCAGGCACATGTTGTCATAAGCATTATCTGCCCCTACCCTATATTTTTGGTGTGCATTCCCAAAGCTGTTTTCATCCAGAATTCTACCATTCCTGGCCACAATCCTGTATCTTGACCTCACCATCTTCTTGTTACTTGGAAATACCTCCATCCCCTTAAAGGGCTAAGATTCTCTTTAGGAAAAGGCACAGATGGAATAGATGTAGGAGTCTTTACTAAACTTTCAACATTGTGAAAGGTCTTCAAAGGAACAGTGAGCCTACAGGACTTGGCACCTACTGTGTGTACCTACTATATGCCTTCCCCTTGAGCTATGAGCCCACTACATGGCAATGTTGAGGATGGGCTTCACCTTCTTGCTTAACCAATAAGGAGTGAGCTGCAGGGCCTTTCCTGCAGCCAAAGATCTCTGTTTCCCATCTAGAGTGGGATTCATGGTTATCAGCACTGAGCAGGTATCAGGTACCTTTTGGTGCAGATGTATCTGCCCTATAGCTGAAAAAAATCCTCAAGCCTTGGGGAAGAAACTGAAGTCTAACACTTGGGGCACCTGAGGCACCAATAGGCAGCTGCCACCAACAGCATGAGGTATCCAAAAACAAGACCTTACTTACAAGAGGCTAGGCAGCCTTATGCCATTGGGAAGGGAAGGAAGCACATCTATCCCAGGAAAGATGCTATAGAAGCCTGTTCACTGGCTGGTTTATGAGAGTCGATCAAATTACTTATTATGTGGGGCTGGAGAGGTGGCTCAGCAGTTAGGAACACTGGCTACCCTGGAAAAGGACCAGGTTCGATTCCCAGCACCCACATGGTAGGTGACAACCATCTATAACTCTAGTTCCAGGGAATCCATCACCCTCTTCTGACCTCCTTGAGCTTTGCCCTGACACAGGTGTACTTACATACATGCGAGCAAAACACACATAAAATAAAAACAAACAAATAAATAAGGACTGGAGAGATGGCTCAGTGGTTATAAGGACTGGCTTTTCTTAGAGAAGACCTGGGTTTGAATTCCAGCACCCACATAGTGGCTAACAACCACCTTTAACTCCAGTTCCAGGAAATCTGACGGCCTCTTCTGTCCTCAAGGGCACTGCACAACACAAGTACACTAACATACATGCAGGCAATATAGTCATACACATAAAATAAAAAATAAATAAATAAATAAATAAAAGAAGCATTGTAGACATGACCTATACACGACTCTGGAAAAAGACCTCCAATATTCTGTGTGATGGGAGATAAGCAGCACACTGCTACTTCTCCATCCTCACCATTCCTAAGGGTTTAGAAATCAACCCTCTAGGATTCTCCACCATTCTTGTCCTTTGTGCTCCTGTATGTAAGTCAGCCTGAGGCAGGATGTCTACACAGCAAAGCACCAAGACCTTAAGACATCCATTCCCTGAAGGGTGGTTCTTATCTCTCAGTGCAACAAAGCCAATGAGCATCTCAGGACAAGAGCGTAACAAAGGCCATTCCTCACACCTCTTAAAGCAGAGCATACAGTTCATCAAACCGTTGACCCTGAGTTTAGAACTTTGTATACAAGGACCTAGAGCCACCATGACACAATTTTGTTCCCCCATCCAAGAAGTTTCTTTGAACAATAAGAGTCACTACTAGGAGTCAGCAGTGTATGGTACTCCTATGGTCTTTTGTTCCACACTGGGACCAACATATGGCCAGGTATTGCCCTATGGACTCTGCATGGTGCACCTTAAACAAGTGCCTCCTGTCTAGAGTCTACAAAACCCATATCCCTAGCCACACACTAAGCAAAATGGCATGCAGGTCCTGCCAACCAAAGAAGAGCCCTGTTCAGGCATGTGGACACCTGCAGTCATACTCTCCACAGATATACAATGATGCCACCAAGTGGCCTGTAGCACATGTAGATCTGCACCAGGGGTCATCTTGCCCTCTAACATTTAATGCCTTCATGTACAAAATAAGAAGGAGCAGATACTGGGAGATTGAGAAGCATGTCTGGAAGAGCTCTTGGTGATGCTTAAAGGTATTATTATTGGCATTATCACCACCTTTCTCATCAGGATTTGGCTGAGGGAGAGGTTTCAGTCAAGCAAGCCCATTTTGGGGAGTCTCAGAACTCTAATGAGTTTGTCTGAATCTGTTCCTCCATGTAAACAGAACAGCCCCACATCCTGAGCACATATCAGGTATCAAGCTGCTCAGGAGCAGTACCCAGTGACCAGGGTGGAGTGTTAGTTGTAACCTCCCTTGGAGAACTTGAGCCTTCCCTGCTGATCATGGCCTTAGTGTCTGTCCCCACAGCAGCCCCAGATCCACAGTTCTAGGACTCCGGTGGTCAAACTTAGCAAAACAACCAGGACCTCTTGATCCTGGGTCACAGGGAAGATAGTCATCCTTCACAGGGCCAAGACCTCCAACACAAGCTGAGAGAGTATCAGAACCCAGACATAGTTGTCCTCCTACTGATGGGGACCACATCCACATACTCAGCCATCCTGTAGATTCAGGCCTTGTGAGCAGCATTCCCAGGAAGAGCACAGAGACTGACTGAAGGGACACTGACCTACTGGGTTCCATCTCAGGTCTAGGACTCTGACACCCTGATCACAGACAGAGCCTTCCTGGTACTTCCTGGATCACCTTGACACAGGCCAAACCAGTCTACTTGGTATGTATGTTGTGCCCTCTGGGAACCTAAAAAGTCTCTGGGGAAACCTACAGAAGAATTCTCTCTCTGAGGAAACCCCTCTGACCCTTCCATCCCCCACTGGGGGGCTTGGCTCCCAGATGAGTCCACCTGTCCATCTGGCTGTTGATTAAGGATCCCAGGAATATCCGTACCATCCATTCCTCTAAAGCATTGAACCTTCTTTTTCAACTCTTCAACAAACTAAAGCAGGAAAATATGTAAAGTATAGTTGGTGTGATCCTCACTCCTCTCCCTTCCCAAACAGAGACCATGTGCCCCCAAAGGCATGTTATACCCCTGCCTGATCACCTCTCCTGGTCTCCTGGACAGGCTGTCCTGCTCCACCTGACCACCAGACTTCAGAAGCTCTCTTCTCTTACCCTCCTTTTCTGCCCACAGAATCTACTTTTGATCATTTGACTTGTCTCCCCAAGTCCCCCAGCAGAGACCCACCAAAGCTTTCTGAATCTCACTGGGTCTGCTTCTGACCTCTCCAGATTTTTTTTTTTTTTGAGGAGAGGGGTCTTTTTGAGACAGGGTCTCCCAGCTGGCCTCATTATATAGACCAGGCTGGCCTTGAACTCACCGAGGTCCATCCACCTCTTCCTCCGAAGTGCTAGGATTAAAGGCATGTGCCACCATGCCCAATTCAGATGTATTTTTATATATGTTTTTGTTTGCAAAAATTGAAAAACTGAATCTATAATTCATATGATAATTCAAGGAATATGGAATAGCCAAAACAATGCTTTTAAAGATTTATTTATGTTTATTTTTATGTGTATAAGTGTCTGCCTATATGGATATATGTATACTACATGTGTGCCTGGTACCAGAGGGCATCAGATATCCTAGAACTGGAGTTACAGTTTGTAAGCTACCATGTGGGTGCTGGGGACTAAACCCAGGTACTCTGCAAGAACAGGAATTGCTCTTAACCACTGAGCCATCTCTCTAGCCCCCAAAAACAATTAAAAAAAAAAAAAACAAATTGAAGAGCTCACATTTCCTAGTTTCAAAACTTACCACAAGATTAGAGTAACCAATATAATATAGTATCCCAAAAGAATGGACATGTAGAAATATGAGATAGACTCAAAGATCCAAAAATAACTTAGTATTTATATCAGTAGATATTCAGCAATGACACTCAGATAATTTAATGAAAAGAATAATCTTTTCAACAAGTGTGTTGAGACAACAGATATCCAAAAGAATGGAGCTGGACCTCATGCCATATACAAAATGGAACTCAAAATACATCACAGATTTAGCTGTAAGTCTAAAATTTTTAGAAACCCTAGAAAACCCATCTGACTTTGGATTAGACAGTGGTTTCTCTGATATAACGGCAAAAGTGCTAACCATGAGTGGCGGGTGGTGCACACTTATATCCTAGCACTCTGAAGGCTGATATAGG